GTTCGGGTTGGGTCAGTCGGAACTGTCGCTGTACTGTTGGCTGTGCCCCCGGTTCCAGTTCTATCCTGTGATCGTGCGGTCGCTGAGGTGGCAGTCCCGTCGGCAGGTCGTCCGGGAAAATGTCACTGTACTGTTTTAACAGCGCTGCCAGATCACTCGGTACGTCGGTCAGCAGTTTCTGTAAATCGCCCCCCTTGTCTGCTGCCTCGGCTTCCCGAATGTCAACCGCGTACACGTCGGCTCCGGCCGCAACAGCGCGTTTCATCGTGATCGCATTGACACGCACCGACGAAGACTCAGGCGAGCCCCAGCGAGGTAAGGCGATGTTGTTACCGTTTACTCGCACGGTGCAGTCACCCGTCGTCCAGTCAATTCGCGGATTGTGTCGTCGCAGCCAATCACGCCCGAGTAAAATGTCGGTTCCGTCGAGGGTCGTTGCGAGCATTTCCTGACTAAACGTGAAGTTACCCCTGCATCGAATCCGAACTCGGTCTACGCGTTCCCGTATTGCCAGCGGCGTGCCGTCTACCAGTCGTGCGTCGATCTCAGGTAAGCATCGGTCCAGTGGCAGTCGCAGTTTTCGTGCTGTAGCAGTGTTAATGAGGCTGTGGCTGGCTCCCCCGTCTACGAATATTTTAACTAAGTCCGTCCCAATTTTCCCACTGAGCAGTATAGGGCTATCTACCGTGGTACCCTCCTTATTCGGCCGGGTGTGGTCGATTGCGTGAACCGGCACAATCACTCGGTGAGGGTCGGTTGGGTCGGGCGAGCGGCGTGACCTGTCAGTAGAGGGCCCGTCTGCTACTGACTTCCAGCGTTTCCCTGCTGCTTGGTCTGTGTCTGCTGCTCAGCTTCCCCCTTTCCCTTAGCGTTTTCCGGGCATTCGCTCTTGCGATGTCCCGGCCGATTGCACGCAAAGCAACGCCCTTTGAACGGTGCGGCAGCGGCATTTGCGGCGACGGCGCGTATCGTGGCGCTCTCGTTCGTCCCACGAGGCCGATGTCCCCAGGTGTTGTTTCCGTAGGACCCCGGTCTCGGTCGGCGAAAGAAGTCGAGCTTCTCCGCCATAGCGAGAATTTCCTGAAACTCAGTGACGCTGCGAAGCTGGATTTCCTGAGCGATGTCCTGCTTCAGGCCGCCGATGTAGCGGTCGATGCGTTCGCTCTCATGCATGTAGCCCACCTGCTCGCATAGCGCCAGAAATCCGCTCGTGTAATCCTGGACGGAACCGAGTTGGCGCCAAGTGCGGAGCTTCTGTCGCGCCGAGATCGAGGCCGCAATTGGCTCAAATCGAGCGCGCAGACCTGCGCACCACGCGTCCCACGTGCGATACTGGGGCACCTCCACGAAATACGACGGCGCCCAGGGTCCGGTTTGTCCTTCCCGTGTCGGTAGTGTCGCGTAGTCGGTCGGCTTCGTGACGATGACGCGCCACCAGTTCATGGCGGGTCCTCGCAGCAACGACACGGCGTATCGAATCTTCGCCGAGTCCTCCGAGACGTAGTTGGCGTCGAAGAAAACATTCATTGTGAATAACCACGCCTGAACGGTAGGACCACCCCGTTGACTCGGGTCAAAGCATGGCGGGCGCTGCGGCTTCAGCGGCATCGGTGACGGCAGTCCCGAATCGTGGGTTGGTGCCGAAATCGTGACGCGAGGCTGACTTGGGGCCGCATGCGTCGCTCTGGGGTGTGTCGTGCCGTGGTCGTCGTCTCCGTCGGGGCGGACGACGCCATCACTGGCCGCGCTCGCGGGTTGCCCCACACTCCCGTGTTGTGATGTTGAGGGTGCAGGTTGAATCGGAGTGCCAGGTGCTTGAGATTGTGCTTGTTGTGCCCTCATGAGGTCATTTTGCAGCGATGAGCGTTCTGCCGTTAATGCCGCGATTTCCTCGGAGCTTTCGTGCAGCTGTCGCAGCAGATCGTTCAAACGCTCCTGCGTGAGGGTGGTGACATCGATATTTTCAGCCATGACGAAGGGCGTCGGCTCGTCTTAGTCTAGGCGCGGTCGTGGCTGCACGCGTTTACGAGAGAACGCGAGGACAGCGGCTCCTAGGGGCTAAGGTGCGTGAGTCCCTTCGAGTGAAAAATCAAAAGTTGATTTCCTGGTGTGCGGAGATGCGCGGTCCGAAAGAAAGGGGCTCTGAAACCAAGTGTTACGGGTGCAATGAATCGAGGTAGCGAGAATTGCACTAAGGTGTCAAACGAGTACAAAATGTGAGCGAAGGCATGAGCGAACATTTATACGCGAAACATGCAAAACGGTAACGCGGTGCGTGCGAGCTTGCTAGTGCTACGCTGGAGCGAGGCTCGGGCTAGTCCCGAAGCGTAGGCCGATACGGCCATGCCAGCAGTGCGAGGTTTGGCAAAACAGTGCGCGCGAAGTCGGCGAAGTTCCGTTAGCAGTAACGGGCGAACAATCGGCTGTTGCTGTACGCGATGTAGTCGGCTCCGTAAGGAATGCCGAGAAAATTCCTTACACTAGTTTGTTTCCAGTTTTTGGGTAATTTTTGTGAACAGTGCTGTTCCCCGTCTTTTGGGGAGGAAGATCACTGTTCACATCAGTCAACCGAAAAGTGCAAACGAAGGTTCCTACGCAACCCAAAGATGACATGCGGTTCCACGTGGAAGCACCAGTGCTAATTTCCGCGTCCCTCGGTCAGTTGTGATTGCTGGAGCGTGTACACAAGGAAGTTCCTGGGGCCCATACTTGCGCTCCCCAGCTCCTCCCCATCTGACCCTGTTTTGGGTGTAGCTGAGCGTTTGGGCGCCTTTAACGGTCACGGGCGCACCCCAAAGTGAAAACTTGAAATCAGGGCTTGTGAAGAGTTTCCACTTAGACGTGAAGGGAAAATTCAAGTGCTCCAAGCTGACTTAGACACTTTATAAACACAGGATTGGTTAGAAAACGCTAAGTGAAAAATCCACTCCTCTCGTGCAACCTACGGTAAGGAGAAAGAGGGGGGGGGGGGTCAGGCAGAATTTGGGGGGGTTATCCTACCACCGGAAGCCAAAACTTTGAGACAGGGGAAGGCCTGGTTTGGGCACTTGACGCATCCGGGGTGGGTCGAGCGAGGCACTTAGTGGCACGGGTGCTGTGCGGATCTAACACTTTATGCAGTCGAGCTGGAGTGAAAGTAGCCCAGAATGTTCAGGGCATTAAGGGCATATGCCCTTTAATCGACAGAGCTGGTGTACACATTCTGCCGCGGGCGTAGACCTGTTGCCTGAATTTATTTCGGCCAGCCAGCGGCTGCCAAATCTCATCCCAGCTGTTGCAAAATTCCGAGAGCGATGTAACGATCGAATCCCATGACGAATCCACGAAATCGGACCCATTTGCATGAGGTCGATTCGTCTGTGTACGCCATTTGCTCGTCGCCATGCGGCGTGCCTGTCCCATTGTAATTGCGAAGACGCGGTTTTCGCTAGCCGCCCTGCGAAACAAGTAGGCACACTCTTTGACGACGAACAGCCAGTCTCTCACCGCCTCCGCCTGCGATAAATGCGGTGATTCGGTGAAGCGTAACCGTTGGCAGCTTCGCTGTGTCCTGCTGGATTACACCTTCCAGCCGCGCTTGACTGGAGGGGAGGCCTGCGAAAATTCGTTGACTCGGAACGCGTTCTCTGCGAATGTTGTTCAGCTCGCCACCGCCCAATCTCCATCACTCGTCTGGGGCAAGGGTGAGAAAAGAGGGGCAGGTTGTTACCTGACGCTTCGTCAACGTCGACTTTGAAAGTGACGAGGAGGGTAGAGCAAGTTTGAAACAGGGAGAAGATCAAATAGGGGCCGAACAATAGCAGGGAGGTGACCGAATTAGGGCCGGGTTGATTCCAGCCGTCGGATACACCCCCGGGGCTCCCAAAGTGGCTGAGCCGAGAATCCGAACCAAGATAAAAAGAAAACTAATTATTGCTGAACTTTATTGGTTCAATGATGTTTTCATGGTTATGATCGCCGCCTAATACCAAGCTTGCGTCGCATTCCACTGGAAGTAGGGTTTGTCATGTTTATATCTTTGAAAAATGAAATCGTGATCGTTTTCTAAAAAATTACATCACTTTCGCTGACCTAAATAATAAAACCCGTTCGGAAATGGATGCGACTCGGTAGGCATCAACCCTAAACACCAGGCGGGTTCCCGTGTTTAGGGTTGATCCATCGCGAAATTGCGTCTAGGTTCTCTATTGGTTTTAGTTTTTTTAGGCTGCCCTAACATTTCCTCGGTAGCGTCGGTAGCGCTACCTGGCTCGCTAAACGACGCTACCGGATGGAAAAAATGATTCATTTACGATATCCTAGGAATATTGAGGTGTGAGCGAAAATGCAAGCCGTGACGAGCCTCTCTGTTAATTCCTCCTCGCGCAGCGGTCTGGTCAGTTTCGGGCCTCTCGGCCCCTGGTTTATCACCGCTCTGGCACTGTTCGGCCCCTCTTTGATCATTTCCCGTTTGAAACAAGAGTTGCTGCAAAGCAGACTGCAGTGCGAGCTTCTAGCGTGTACAGTACCCGCTTCTCCTCTCCTCCCCCTCTCTGTACAGAGACACACAACCTGCCACTTACCCCACGCGCGGAGGCTAAATGCAGCAAAACCCTACAGGGAGCGACGACGCAGCAGCGCATGTGGTGCTTATTTGCCGCGAGCGACGAGACGAACGGAGAAAGTTTGCTCCGCAAGGTAAGCCGTCTGATCCGGCCGGACGCTTCAATGTCGCAACGCGGCCTTGTTTCATAGTGGCAGAGCTGCTGCATCAGTTTCTTACAGTCACGCGCATCCGTTGATCGCCAGTCTCTTAACCCTATCTCGACTTGGTTATTTTCACCGTTTTCCAATTCGTGTGGCCTCTTGCTTATCTGGAAATAATTTTCAGAAGTGTGATGCAACAGGCTTTTTCTAGAGCTCTGATATTCGCTTCCGAGATGGATCTCGCAAGTAAAGACTTCGGCGATCAGCCCAACCGACATTGTTCAGATATGGCGACCAGCTCCTTCGCAGACGAAATGGAGGCCGTCCGATTGATAGGAGATTATCAAGCGTATAGAAGCTTCGAGGATGATCTAGCCGTTGATTCCAGGCACTACTACGCCGGAGACGCCGGGTACTCCGATATAGGCGACCCGTTAGGGACGGATAGAGACGCCATGACTCGCGGAGATGGCGATGCGGCGATGCAGCGAGATATACAGATGCGCTCTGCGCAGAACATGCAACTGCAGATTCAGCAGCAGCAGCAGCATCAACAACAGCAGCTACAGCAGCAGCATCTACAGCAGCAGCTACAGCAGCAGCAGCATCATTATCAACAGCAGCAGTTACTGCAGCAGCATCAGCAGCAGCAACAACATCTGTCTTCCCTCGCCTCCCACCCCGCCGTCCCATCCGTTACCGCATCCGAGCCTCCTTCGTCCATCTCATCCTCGTTAGTAGCTGACGCGAAACCGTCGAATGATATCAACTTCGAGCGCGCCGGCGAAGACTACCGGCTTCAACTAGCCCTCGCGCTGCGCCTCGCCGCCGAGGCGTCGTTTCTAGACGAAGCCAGCGAGAGGCGACGCGGGTCCGGGCGGGCAGGTTTGGACTTTGCGGAGTTCGACGCGCGGGGTAAGGGGGTGACTGGCGCGGGGGATAGGCGGAGGGGGGGCGCGCGGAAGGCGGGGAGGGACGACGGGAGTGTCGCGCGGGGGAGGGAGGAGGACGAGCGGCGGCCGGGGCATAAGCTGCACCCCTGGGAGCTGGAGCGGTGCATCTTCCGCTTCTGGGTGAGCGTGAAGTTCCGATCACCTATGTCGTGTACGCGTTTTAGTGTGATCTATCGCATTGTAGTGTACCCTGTTAGTAGAAACTGTGGGTGCATTTTCCCGGTTCTGGGTGAACGCGAAGTTCTGATCACCCACGCCCGCGCGCGTCGAGAATGCGTGCGTTGTAGTGCAGCTCGTTTGCGTTGTATTGCACGCTGTTGCAATGAGACTCTGTAGCATGCGTCATCTCGTCTGTCCCCCCGTTGTGTCATCTCACTGGAGCGATGCTTTATTTGATTCAGGGCGAGCGCAGATAGTCCGCTGCGATCGCAGTGCCAGTTTCGGCGGTGTTGTGTGGGAATGATGTAGTTAGGGTTAGCAGCTGCGTACCATACATGCGTGCGCGCGACTAACTCGTGCGGGCCCCGCGTTCCCCTCATTCCCCTCATTCCCCTCATTCCCCTCATTCCCCTCATTCCCCTCATTCCCCTCATTCCCCTCGTTCCCATCATTCCCCTCATTCCCCTCATTCCCCTCATTCCCCGCATTCCCCTCATTCCCCTCATTCCCCTCATTCCCCTCATTCCCCTCATTCCCCTCATTCCCCTCATTCCCCTCATTCCCCTCGTTCCCATCATTCCCCTCATTCCCCTCATTCCCCTCATTCCCCGCATTCCCCTCATTCCCCTCATTCCCCGCATTCCCCGCATTCCCCTCATTCCCATCCCGCACATCTAGGGTTCGAATCACAAGGCCTTTTTTTATGCGCGCTGGTAATGCGCGCTTTCGGGCCATTCACGATTGGGATTTTGCTTCTGATATCCTCTCTTAGAAGGGGCGCGTTAAGAGCCCTAGGAGCGACACATCTGCCAGCAACACCAGCGTTTCAGAATCTTCGAAAGACGAGGCCCCAATTTCTCACGCCTCCGTGATACCCACCCCCTCCGAACCCACCCCACCCCAGCGACGCGGGGGATTCGCTGTTCTACGGGGTATTCGGGTCAGACTGAACGCCAAGGTGTGGGGCGTGTGAAGTCAGTGCTCTCATCCCCTCCCCACCACTCCCCACCACTCCCCACCACTCGCCAGACGACCCAAGTGTTGGATTACAGCAACGCCAAGGTGTGGGGCGTGTGCGCGTGAACACGTCAGTCTCATCTCCCCCACCGCCGTCCACCATTTCCCATCACTCCCCACCACCCCCGTCCGCCGCTCCCCACCACCCCCCACCACTCCCCGCCGTTCCCCAGACCACCCAGGTCCTGGAATACAGCGACGCGGCGGATTCGCGATTCTACGGGGTGTATGGGTCCGCGCTGAACGCCAAGGTGTGGGGCGTGTGCGCGGAGGCGCGCGGGCAGGGCCACATGCCGACGCTGGAGATGCTGCGGATGCTGGCAGCGCATGACACGGCGGTGGACGTGGTGCTCGTGGACTTCGAGGAGGACAATGGGCTCAGGAAGCTCGTTGCCAGGCTGGCAGCGGGGCGCGGGAAGCAGCAGGGGCAGCACGGGCAGGGGGAGGGAGACGCGGGAGTGAGGGCTGGCGAGCCTACAGCCGGTGATGTTGCAAGGTAGGTGGAATGTGGTGGGGTGGTTGGTAACTTGGGTCTGCTGGGTGTGGTAAGAGGGTGGGTGTGGGAGAGGGCGGGCAGGGCCACATGCCGACGCTGGAGATGCTGCGCGCGCTGGCGGCGCATGACACGGCGGTGGACGTGGTGCTCGTGGACTTCGAGGAGGACAATGGGCTCAGGAAGCTTGTTGCGAGACTGGCTGCTGGGCGCGGGATGGCGCAGGGACAGGGGGAGGGCGAGGGGGAGAGGAGCGGCGAGCCTACGGCAGGTGACGTTGCAAGGTAGGTGGAGTGTGCTGGAGTGAGTGGGCTTGCTGGGTGTGCTGGGTGGCTTGAGTACGAGGGGGCATTACGCACTGCAGTATCACCTGTTCCCATGATCCCAGCCAGTGTTTTTTGAGAATTCTCAAAAAAGCTTTATGCACTGCAGTATCACCTGTTCCCATGATCCCAGCCAGTGTTTTTTGAGAATTCTCAAAAAAGCTTTATGCACTGCAGTATCACCCTTTCCCATGATCCCAGCCCGCCCGCTGCCCTATCACCCTTTCCCAAATTCCCCTTTATCATCCCATCCCTTGAACTCCACCCTCCATTGTCTCGTTCCACTCTTTTGCCATTCCCCTCTCCTCCGTCCGTTCCCCCTCCCTGCATTTCCGTCTCTCGCCCCTCCCTCTCCCGCCCCTGTCCATTCTCATCTCTGTGTGCGCTGCCAGGGTGGTAGCAGAGGCAATGGGCGGACCAGTACCCAACGACGAAGAGATCTATGTGAGCCACTCGCCCACTCCCCTCTCCTGCTGTCTTCATTTCGTGTGATAATCAATCTGTTTTGATACGTCTCGAAACGATTCCTCCTATCTGGTAGCAGAGGCAATGGGCGGACCTCTCGGCCCAACGACGAAGAGATCTATCTATGTGAGTTCCTTGTCGGTCATAAGATTGAAGAAGGGTTTTAAGACGTCTCAAAACCCTTCTTCAATCACGTATCTATGTGAGTTCCTTCTCGGTCATAAGCTCTCCATTCCCTTCACCTCAAAGCAGTTATAATTCTCTCCACATAAAATCCGCGTGAGTCGAGACGATTTTTTAGGCGCCTCAAAAAGGACCTCGGCCCAACAACGAAGAGATCTATGTGAGTTCCTTCTCGGTCATAAGCTCTCCATTCCCTTCACCTGCTGTTTCCATTCCGATCCTCCGTCTTTGTCTCCCGTATCTATGCCTCCTCCCGTATCTATGCCTCCTCCCGTATCTATGCCTCCTCCCGCTCTTCCCCGTCCCCGTCCCTCCAACCCCCCCTCTTTCTCCTCCTCTCCCTCCCCTCCTCTCTCCCACAGTACCCATCTCTGCCCGTCTTCTAACCACTCAAAACTCCAGCTAGCTCTGCTTGCTCTCTCAAAGGCATACCGACACACTCCATCTTTGCCCCGTCAACGTTCCCTTCACTCAACCCACCCTTGTCTTTCCCATCAACGCACGCCACGCCTCGGCGCCGAACCTGTTCAGGAGGTTTGGGAGGAGCTGGCTCGGGAGAGCAGGGTGCGGGCTGGATCGCCCATCATGCTCATCGGGAGCATCAAGCTGGGTCTGAGTCGCCACCGTGCCTTGCTCTTCAAGGTGAGATTCTTTTGATGGCTCAGAAATCGGCTTGGGAGGGCAGGGAGGGCAGGGAGGGCGGGGAGAGCAGGGTGCGGGCTGAGTCGCCACCGCGCGCTGGTATTCAAGGTGTTTTTTTTTATTCAGGGTGTTATTCCCTGTCAATGTATGCTGTATAATACTCTGCTCGTCCCATCCCCCTTGGTGCTGCGTCCCATCCCCCTTGGTGCTGCGTCCCATCCCCCTTGGTGCTGCGTCCCATCCCCCTTGGTGCTGCGTCCCATCCCCCTTGGTGCTGCGTCCCATCCCCCTTGGTGCTGCGTCCCATCCCCCTTGGTGCTGCGTCCCATCCCCCTTGGTGCTGCGTCCCATCCCCCTTGGTGCTGCGTCCCATCCCCCTTGGTGCTGCGTCCCATCCCCCTTGGTGCTGCGTCCCATCCCCCTTGGTGCTGCGTCCCATCCCCCTTGGTGCTGCGTCCCATCCCCCTTGGTGCTGCGTCCCATCCCCCTTGGTGCTGCGTCCCATCCCCCTTGGTGCTGCGTCCCATCCCCCTTGGTGCTGCGTCCCATCCCCCTTGGTGCTGCGTCCCATCCCCCTTGGTGCTGCGTCCCATCCCCCTTGGTGCTGCGTCCCATCCCCCTTGGTGCTGCGTCCCATCCCCCTTGGTGCTGCGTCCCATCCCCCTTGGTGCTGCGTCCCATCCCCCTTGGTGCTGCGTCCCATCCCCCTTGGTGCTGCGTCCCATCCCCCTTGGTGCTGCGTCCCATCCCCCTTGGTGCTGCGTCCCATCCCCCTTGGTGCTGCGTCCCATCCCCCTTGGTGCTGCGTCCCATCCCCCTTGGTGCTGCGTCCCATCCCCCTTGGTGCTGCGTCCCATCCCCCTTGGTGCTGCGTCCCATCCCCCTTGGTGCTGCGTCCCATCCCCCTTGGTGCTGCGTCCCATCCCCCTTGGTGCTGCGTCCCATCCCCCTTGGTGCTGCGTCCCATCCCCCTTGGTGCTGCGTCCCATCCCCCTTGGTGCTGCGTCCCATCCCCCTTGGTGCTGCGTCCCATCCCCCTTGGTGCTGCGTCCCATCCCCCTTGGTGCTGCGTCCCATCCCCCTTGGTGCTGCGTCCCATCCCCCTTGGTGCTGCGTCCCATCCCCCTTGGTGCTGCGTCCCATCCCCCTTGGTGCTGCGTCCCATCCCCCTTGGTGCTGCGTCCCATCCCCTTGGTGCTGCGTCCCATCCCCCTTGGTGCTGCGTCCCATCCCCCTTGGTGCTGCGTCCCATCCCCCTTGGTGCTGCGTCCCATCCCCCTTGGTGCTGCGTCCCATCCCCCTTGGTGCTGCGTCCCATCCCCCTTGGTGCTGCGTCCCATCCCCCTTGGTGCTGCGTCCCATCCCCCTTGGTGCTGCGTCCCATCCCCCTTGGTGCTGCGTCCCATCCCCCTTGGTGCTGCGTCCCATCCCCCTTGGTGCTGCGTCCCATCCCCCTTGGTGCTGCGTCCCATCCCCCTTGGTGCTGCGTCCCATCCCCCTTGGTGCTGCGTCCCATCCCCCTTGGTGCTGCGTCCCATCCCCCTTGGTGCTGCGTCCCATCCCCCTTGGTGCTGCGTCCCATCCCCCTTGGTGCTGCGTCCCATCCCCCTTGGTGCTGCGTCCCATCCCCCTTGGTGCTGCGTCCCATCCCCCTTGGTGCTGCGTCCCATCCCCCTTGGTGCTGCGTCCCATCCCCCTTGGTGCTGCGTCCCATCCCCCTTGGTGCTGCGTCCCATCCCCCTTGGTGCTGCGTCCCATCCCCCTTGGTGCTGCGTCCCATCCCCCTTGGTGCTGCGTCCCATCCCCCTTGGTGCTGCGTCCCATCCCCCTTGGTGCTGCGTCCCATCCCCCTTGGTGCTGCGTCCCATCCCCCTTGGTGCTGCGTCCCATCCCCCTTGGTGCTGCGTCCCATCCCCCTTGGTGCTGCGTCCCATCCCCCTTGGTGCTGCGTCCCATCCCCCTTGGTGCTGCGTCCCATCCCCCTTGGTGCTGCGTCCCATCCCCCTTGGTGCTGCGTCCCATCCCCCTTGGTGCTGCGTCCCATCCCCCTTGGTGCTGCGTCCCATCCCCCTTGGTGCTGCGTCCCATCCCCCTTGGTGCTGCGTCCCATCCCCCTTGGTGCTGCGTCCCATCCCCCTTGGTGCTGCGTCCCATCCCCCTTGGTGCTGCGTCCCATCCCCCTTGGTGCTGCGTCCCATCCCCCTTGGTGCTGCGTCCCATCCCCCTTGGTGCTGCGTCCCATCCCCCTTGGTGCTGCGTCCCATCCCCCTTGGTGCTGCGTCCCATCCCCCTTGGTGCTGCGTCCCATCCCCCTTGGTGCTGCGTCCCATCCCCCTTGGTGCTGCGTCCCATCCCCCTTGGTGCTGCGTCCCATCCCCCTTGGTGCTGCGTCCCATCCCCCTTGGTGCTGCGTCCCATCCCCCTTGGTGCTGCGTCCCATCCCCCTTGGTGCTGCGTCCCATCCCCCTTGGTGCTGCGTCCCATCCCCCTTGGTGCTGCGTCCCATCCCCCTTGGTGCTGCGTCCCATCCCCCTTGGTGCTGCGTCCCATCCCCCTTGGTGCTGCGTCCCATCCCCCTTGGTGCTGCGTCCCATCCCCCTTGGTGCTGCGTCCCATCCCCCTTGGTGCTGCGTCCCATCCCCCTTGGTGCTGCGTCCCATCCCCCTTGGTGCTGCGTCCCATCCCCCTTGGTGCTGCGTCCCATCCCCCTTGGTGCTGCGTCCCATCCCCCTTGGTGCTGCGTCCCATCCCCCTTGGTGCTGCGTCCCATCCCCCTTGGTGCTGCGTCCCATCCCCCTTGGTGCTGCGTCCCATCCCCCTTGGTGCTGCGTCCCATCCCCCTTGGTGCTGCGTCCCATCCCCCTTGGTGCTGCGTCCCATCCCCCTTGGTGCTGCGTCCCATCCCCCTTGGTGCTGCGTCCCATCCCCCTTGGTGCTGCGTCCCATCCCCCTTGGTGCTGCGTCCCATCCCCCTTGGTGCTGCGTCCCATCCCCCTTGGTGCTGCGTCCCATCCCCCTTGGTGCTGCGTCCCATCCCCCTTGGTGCTGCGTCCCATCCCCCTTGGTGCTGCGTCCCATCCCCCTTGGTGCTGCGTCCCATCCCCCTTGGTGCTGCGTCCCATCCCCCTTGGTGCTGCGTCCCATCCCCCTTGGTGCTGCGTCCCATCCCCCTTGGTGCTGCGTCCCATCCCCCTTGGTGCTGCGTCCCATCCCCCTTGGTGCTGCGTCCCATCCCCCTTGGTGCTGCGTCCCATCCCCCTTGGTGCTGCGTCCCATCCCCCTTGGTGCTGCGTCCCATCCCCCTTGGTGCTGCGTCCCATCCCCCTTGGTGCTGCGTCCCATCCCCCTTGGTGCTGCGTCCCATCCCCCTTGGTGCTGCGTCCCATCCCCCTTGGTGCTGCGTCCCATCCCCCTTGGTGCTGCGTCCCATCCCCCTTGGTGCTGCGTCCCATCCCCCTTGGTGCTGCGTCCCATCCCCCTTGGTGCTGCGTCCCATCCCCCTTGGTGCTGCGTCCCATCCCCCTTGGTGCTGCGTCCCATCCCCCTTGGTGCTGCGTCCCATCCCCCTTGGTGCTGCGTCCCATCCCCCTTGGTGCTGCGTCCCATCCCCCTTGGTGCTGCGTCCCATCCCCCTTGGTGCTGCGTCCCATCCCCCTTGGTGCTGCGTCCCATCCCCCTTGGTGCTGCGTCCCATCCCCCTTGGTGCTGCGTCCCATCCCCCTTGGTGCTGCGTCCCATCCCCCTTGGTGCTGCGTCCCATCCCCCTTGGTGCTGCGTCCCATCCCCCTTGGTGCTGCGTCCATCCCCCTTGGTGCTGCGTCCATCCCCCTTGGTGCTGCGTCCCATCCCCCTTGGTGCTGCGTCCCATCCCCTTGGTGCTGCGTCCCATCCCCCTTGGTGCTGCGTCCCATCCCCCTTGGTGCTGCGTCCCATCCCCTTGGTGCTGCGTCCCATCCCCCTTGGTGCTGCGTCCCATCCCCCTTGGTGCTGCGTCCCATCCCCCTTGGTGCTGCGTCCCATCCCCCTTGGTGCTGCGTCCCATCCCCCTTGGTGCTGCGTCCCATCCCCCTTGGTGCTGCGTCCCATCCCCCTTGGTGCTGCGTCCCATCCCCCTTGGTGCTGCGTCCCATCCCCCTTGGTGCTGCCTCCCATCCCTCCCTCACCTTTCTCCGTTCCCACTCGAACCTGCTTCCGATCCCCCTTGCGCCCCCTGCTCCTGTCCTCTGCTCCCTGCCTGCCTGCCTCCCTGCCTGCCTGCCTGCCCACCCGCCCGCCCGCCCGCCCGCCCGCCCGCCCGCCTCCCTCCCTCCCTCCCTCCCTCCCTCCCTCCCTCCCTCCCTCCCTCCCTCCCTCCCTCCCTCCCTCCCTCCCGCCCGCCCTCCCTCCCTCCCTCCTGCATCGTCCTGTCACTCTCCACAGGCCCTAGCAGATTACTTTGGCATCCCGTGCCGCATGATTCGAGGAACCAACGGCGAGGCGCTCATTGTCACGCGTTGCCACTCATACCCACTCGTACCTGCTTTCTACCTTGCTTAACCTCCCTGCCTCTGTCCTCTCCTCCCTGCCTGCCTGCCTCCTGCATTGTCCTCTCATCCTCGTGTGCCCTTCTTCTCACAGGCCCTAGCAGATTACTTTGGCATCCCGTGTCGCATGATTCGAGGAACCAATGGGGAGGCCCTCATTGCTACGCGCTGCCGCCACAACAGGTACGCTCAAGAGAATTTTAGGGCTGACGTCAGCATCATGTGCAGAGCGCTAGGGCTGACGTCGGCGCAACACAGGAGTATATCCAGGATGACGTCAGCACAGTAGGTGCGATGCGCTGGGAATGACGTCAGCACAGTAGGTGCGATGCGCTGGGGATGACGTCAGCACAGTAGGTGCGATGCGCTGGGGATGACGTCAGCACAAACAGGTGTACCTTGTCTGCTTGTCTGCTCCTCTCCTCTCTCCTTGTTTCTCCGTTCTTCTCTGGTATCTTAGAGAGTGGCTGGTAGATGTGATGAGGCATCCTGGGCTGATGGCCTCTCGCTCGCACGATGGCACTGTCTCCCGCCTTCCTCAGATCGCCCCTTCCCTCTCCCTCACTGTCCGTCTCTGCTCTCCCTGTTGTTCCTCTGCCCCCATCAGGGAGTGGTTGGTAGACGTGATGAGACATCCTGGGCAGATGGCCTCTCGCTCACACGATGGCACCGTCGCAGGTCCCGCCTTCCTCAGATCCCCCCTGCAGTTCGACCTCCCCTCCCCCTGGTCCGCCTCCCCCGCCCAATCCGCGCGCCTGCACCTGCACTCGCGCCCCCCGCGCCCGTCCGCCCAGCAGCACGGCGGAGGGGGAGGGGGAGAGGGCGCAGGGGCAAGGGGGGAGGCTGCAGGAGCAGGGGGAGGACCAGGGGCGAGTGGGGACGGGAGGGGAGGGTCGGGGGGAGGGGGAGCGGAAGGAGGGGGTGGAGGGGGGGCTGCAGGGGCGGGGATTGAATCTGAGCCGTCGGTTTATGCCCTGGCAACGCAGCAGCGGTTTGCAGGGCGGAGCAGTTGTGGGTGCGGGATTAGGCGGGGGGTGTGGGGGCAGGGGGGAGCGTCAGGGGGAAGGGGGAGCGCGGGGGGAGCAGAGAGGCGCTCAGGCAGGCTCAGCACGTTGGGGGAAGCAGGGGGAGGGGGCGGAGGGGCAGGGGGGGAAGTCGGGGGAAGTGTGGGGCAAGGGGATATTTCCCCCGCAGGTGGTGCTGGCGGCGCGGAGCGGAGTGGGGGAGGAGGGGGCGCGGGCGCATCTGGGGGAATGGCGGAGGGGGGGGGAAGCAGCGGGGGGATGTTGGGGAGATGGCTTAAAAGCCCCGCAGGCAGTGAGCGGGTATTCTGGGGGTGCGCAGGGGGAGAAGGGGCATGGGCGCAAGGGGCAGGGGGAGCAGGGGGAGAGGGCGGAGGAGGGGGAAGAGGCGCCAGGGGGAAAGGGGGGATTATGGAGGGGTGGGGAGTGGTGGCACCAGGGAAAGGGGGGAAGGGGAGGAAAGGCAAGGGGGGGGAGAAGGGGACGGGGAGGACGAAAGGGGGGAGGAAGGGGGGGAGGGGGAGGGAGGCGGAGGAGGAGAGGGGGGCGGACGAGCGGGGAGGGGCGGGGGGGGCAGGGGGGGCAGGGGGGGCGGGTGGTGGGCGGGAGATGGATGAGGGGGCTATGGTGCTGCGATGGGCGATGAAGGAGCTTGAGATTGACTGGGCTGACATGCACCTGCGGGAGAGAATAGGGCAAGGTGAGAAGGAGGCGGGGAAGGGGTAGAGGGGGAGTGAGGAAGGGAGTGGGGAAATGGTTGACTGGCTGCAGCGGTTAGAGAGGCCAGATGATAGGCCAGGGTTGCGATGGTGCTGGGATGGGCGATGCAGGAGCTTGAAATCGACTGGGCTGACATGCCCTTTGAGGCGCCTCAAAGGTTGCTATGGTGCTAGGATGGGCGATGAAGGAGCTTGAAATCGACTGGGCTGACATGCACCTGCGGGGGAGAATAGGTCAAGGTGAGGAGGAAGGGAGAATCGGTGGGTTCAGGGCGAAATTTTACAGCCCCACTGATAAATCCCCGTTGTCTTCCTCATGGCTGGATCATTTGATCGAGGGTCATGGTTGGAACCAATACTTATAAGAATGTGTAAACCAACTGGTTTCAAGATTTCTGCTGTAAAAAAAAAGCGGCCGTTTTTTTGCAACACATTAAATTTATCAATTTTTGGCGTTTTAAAGCGTTTTAAACGGCCGAAAAATACGACAGCGTATTATATGCCAGAATTTCAATCTTTCGGTCGTTTTTTTGCACCTTGGTGCAGAGGGTGTTGTTCGGGGCATCTTACAGTAGGGGCCAGATGATGAGGGGGATGGGCCAGGGTTGCTTTTGCTTTGATGTGCTGCGATGGGCGATGAAAGAGCTTGAGACTGGCTGGGCTGACATGCACCTGCGGGAGAGAATTGGGCGAGGTGCGATTTTTGAGTCGACTCAAAAGTCACCAGGTGCGAATAGAGCGAGGTGAGAGGAAGGTGAGAGCAAGGACGGGAGAGGAGACAGGGCGGGTGATTCAAATAAGGGGCGAGATGATGGTCGAGGGGGTTATGTTGCTGCGATGGGCGATGAAAGAGCTTGAGACTGACTGGGCTGACATGCACCTGCGGGAGAGAATAGGTCAAGGTGAGAGAAAGGAAGGGGAGGGGAAGAGAGGAATGAGAGAAAAGGGGCTGGGAAACGGTGGGTGGGCAGCAGTTAGAGGTACCAGATTATGTGCGAGGGTGCTGGGATGGTGCTGATAGGGCGGGAGGGAATATGGCAAGGTGGGGAGGGGTGGGGGCAAGGTGAGGAGGGGGAGTAGAGGGGTAGGTCTGGTTTGCCACCATTCACACTCGCTTGTCGATCCCCACTCTCTCCGCACCATCCCCAACCTCTCTTCACCATCCCCTACCGCACTCCGTGCATGCTCCAATCTCCTCTTGCCACTGCATCCACACCCTCCTCTCTCCGCCCACTCCATCCAGGGTCATATGGCACAGTGCATTGGGGAGTGGCAGGGGTTGGTGAGTGCACTCATCCCGCCTTATCCCCTCACTAACCCATCCTCCTCATCTCTCCCGCCCACTCCATCCAGGTTCATACGGCACGGTGTATCGGGGGGAGTGGCAGGGATCGGTGAGTGTACACACTGCCTGCCTGCTCATCCTCGCTGCTCGCTTCCCCTCCACCTTCACAATGCGTTCTTCTGCCTTTGCCTTGAGATGCCCCGCTCTTTCTCGAATCGGACAGTTCTTCCCCTCATCCCTGCACCCTGCCATCCCCTCGCCCCTCTCCCTTTTCTGCATCCAGCCCTTCTCTATCCCTGGCAAGAAAGGCATTTCTTTTGTTCTCTCCCCACTCCCTGTCCTCCCCTCTCCGACTCTCTTTCCTCCCCTCCCCGGCGCACCCACTCTCTCTTCCCCCCTCACGTCTCCTGTTCTTTCATTCCCACACCCTCTCCCTGCTCGTCCCTCGTCCCTGCTGCTGCCCTCCGGACGTGGCAGTAAAGATCTCACTCTCTTTCCTCCCCCTTCCCTCCACTGCACCCCTCCTCCCCTCTGCTCCCCTTCCTCTCTTCTCCCTTGCCTTCTCGTCACCCTTGCCCCTGCTGGATCCAGGACGTGGCAGTGAAGGTCTTTCTCGATCAGGACTTGGGCTCACATGCTCTCGAGGACTTCAGAACAGAGGTGAGATGAAACCTTGCAGTGACATGAAGTTATAAGAGTTGAGATTAAATCTGTTCAGAACTGCTTCTCCTTTTTCTGAACCGTGCTGTATGATGTCCAAGAGATGAGACTGACGTTTAGATAAGAGTTTCAATGCCCTGCAGTTGCCCCTTCTCTCACTCATCCTCTCACCCCATTTCTCCCCCACCCGCTCCTCCCCACTTCCCCCCAATCAGGTGGCCATAATGTTCAAGGCGCGCCACCCCAACGTGCTCTACCTTATGGGTGCTGTCACGCGCCCGCCGCACCTCTCTATAGTCACAGAGTTCTGCCCTAGGTAGGTTGATTCCAAACATTCTTATAGGTGCCCGCCTCACCTCTTAGGTGCATTTGTTGAAAATATGTTTCTTAGGTTCCTTCCTGCCTCACCGCACCTCTCTATAGTCACAGAGTTCTGCCCTCGGTAGGTTGGTTCTTTTATCGTGTTCGTAGGTGCCTGCCTGCCCCCACCGCCATCTTACTGGTCACGGAGATTTGTCCCGCGGTAGGCCTGGTTCTTGCAGGCCCACGCAAGGGATCAATTCCGCGGTTCTTTTGAATCGACTCAAAAGGGACCAATTCCGCGGTTCTTTTGAATCGACTCAAAAGGGACCAATTCCGCGGTTCTTTTGAATCGACTCGAAAGGGACCAATTCCGCGGTTCTTTTGAATCGACTCAAAAGGGACCAATTCCGTGGTTCTTTTGAATTGACTCAAAAGGGACCAATTCTGCGGTTCTTTTGAATCGACTCAAAAGGGACCAACTCCGCGGTTCTTTTGAGTCGTCTCAGAAGGGACCAATTCCGCGGTTCTTGAGTCGATTCAAAAGGGACCAACTCCACGGTTCTTGCAGTTTCGAGACGTCCCAAGAGTGAGGCTGCATCTCCCATGTTTGCTTGCTTGCTTTGCGCTTTTTTTTTTTTTTTTTTTTTTTTTTTTTTTTTTTTTTCCTCTCGCAACAGTATGTTATGTGAGTTTCGCCGCCTGCCCGTGCGTCTTGCAGGGGAAGCATCTTCAGGCTGCTGCAGCAGCCCAATCGCGAGCTGACACCTCAGCGGAGACTGAGCTTCGCGCTTGATGTGGTGAGTTGCGGTGCTGTGAGGTGTCTGTGGGTTGTGATGTGCATGGATGGGGTGGGAAGCGCATGGGTGATGGGATGTGCTTGGATGATGGCATTTGCTTGGGTGAGGGGATGTGCATGAGATGTGCATGTGATGGGATGATTATTGCAATCACACACAACCTTCCCTATCCCCAATCTATCCCCAATCGATCCACCATCACACGCCCATCCCTCCTCCCCCACCCACCCACCAGGCGAAGGGAGTGAACTACCTGCACAAGCGCAAGCCGCCCATCGTGTACCGCCCTTGAGTCCCAGACATGTCAAGCCCATACATCACCTCACCGCACCTCACCTCACCTCACCGCACCTCACCTCACCTCACCGCACCTCACCTCACCGCACCTCCTTTGTATGGCCCCCCATCCACCCACCAGGCGAAGGGCATGAACTACCTACACAAGCGCAAGCCGCCCATCGTGCACCGGGACCTGAAGACGCCCAACCTTCTCGTGGACAAGGACTGGACTGTGAAGGTGTGACTACAATGGTTGTGACTGTAGGGTATGATTTTCTTGGGTTCGGGCCTGACAGTCAAGGTGCGGGTGGGACCTCAAAACGCCCAACCTGCTCGTGGACAAGGTCTGGAGTGTCAAGGTGTGCTTGCAGAGCAGAGAGGGGTTCTGGGTGTGTGTGGGTGTGAGAGTCAAGGTTATCTCAAAACGCCCAACCTGCTCGTGGACAAGGACTGGAGCGTCAAGTTGTGTGTGTGCCTGTAGTGGATTGGTGTGGGTTTACGACAGTCAAGGTAGGTATGACGTTTGTGGGTGCTGATGCGACAGTCAAGATGACCTCAAAACGAGGTGACTTTTGAGTCAACTCAGAAGTTACCTTGTGGGTGCTGATGCGACACTCAAGATGACCTCAAAACGCCCAACCTGCTCAAGGTGTGTGCCTGTAGTGGGTGGTGTGACAATGAAGGAGAGACTATAGTGGGCGTGGGTTGGAAGTGATAGTCCATGTGCAGGCATGATCCAACCTTCACCCCTTCCTCCTCACCCTTCATCCTTTCCACCTCACCCTTCATCCTCTCCCCCACACCCTTCACCCTTTTCCCCTCACCTTCGCCCCTCGTCCTTCACCCTCCCCCAGGTGTGCGACTTTGGGCTTTCCAGGTTGAAGCATCGAACGTTCCTCTCCACCCGCTCTGGTGCCGGCACGGTGAGAGGAGGGGGGGGATAAGGGGTGGTTGAGATGGGTGTGACGGGAGGGTGGATTTTCTATGATCATATTAGGGTTGTGAGAGGCGAGCTGGATATTTTGCCTCACCCAGTCTCTTGCAAGATTCAGCTTCTTGTTGGGAATGTTTCCAAATTTCTAGGCACTTAAGAAAACTTTCTGGTGTAAATGTTTCCACGTGTCACCTCAAACCGTGTGATGGCATGGCATGTGCTGGCATGGGTCATGTCATGATGGGTCATGATGGCATGGCATGTGCTGGCATGGGTCATGTCATGATGGGTCATGATGGCATGGCATGTGCTGGCATGGGTCATGTCATGATGGGTCATGATGGCATGGCATGTGCTGGCATGGGTCATGTCATGATGGGTCATGATGGCATGGCATGTGCTGGCATGGGTCATGTCATGATGGGTCATGATGGCATGGCATGTGCTGGCATGGGTCATGTCATGATGGGTCATGATGGCATGGCATGTGCTGGCATGGGTCATGTCATGATGGGTCATGATGGCATGGCATGTGCTGGCATGGGTCATGTCATGATGGGTCATGATGGCATGGCATGTGCTGGCATGGGTCATGTCATGATGGGTCATGATGGCATGGCATGTGCTGGCATGGGTCATGTCATGATGGGTCATGATGGCATGGCATGTGCTGGCATGGGTCATGTCATGATGGGTCATGATGGCATGGCATGTGCTGGCATGGGTCATGTCATGATGGGTCATGATGGCATGGCATGTGCATGCATGGTTATCCATCTATTGCAGCCCGAGTGGATGGCTCCAGAAGTGTTACGCAACGAACCCTCCAATGAAAAGTGAGTCTTTGGCTGTCCTACTCTAAAAGTTGACGCCTGCGTCGTTACACGAGACATGAAATGTATTCTGCCTTATAACAGGAAGTCATTCATTTCACCCCCGTCCAACATCCCCAAGAACTTTTGCACACGCAAATTCTAAACATGCCCCTCGCTCGACGCTTTGTCCTTCCAACACACACAGTGTCCCTTTGTCTTGTGCTTGCTTCTCTCTTTGTTTCTCCTCTCATGGTTGAACCTTGCAGGGCGGATGTGTACAGCTTTGGTGTGATTCTATGGGAGCTAGCAACCATGCAGCAGCCATGGACAGGTCTCAACGCCCTTCAGGTGGGTTCAAATGCTCTTCGTTTTCATTCAGGTGTGTTCGAGCCATGTCCTTGTTGCAAGCCTTTGCCCCCCCATGAATATGACGCATGTTTATGGCATGTGTGTATGGCAGGTGGTGGGAGCAGTGGGGTATCAGAACAGGCGCTTGGAGGTGCCAGACACGATAGACACCAGGCTTGCAGCAGTCATCAAGTCATGCCCTCATGTGCACGCCTTTGCTCCTCCCTGCTCTTCCCTGCTCTTCCCTGCATGTGTGTGTGTCACGTGTGTGTGTGGCAGGTGGTGGGAGCAGTGGGGTATCAGAACAGGCGCCTTGAGGTGCCAGACACGATTGACAGCAGAGTTGCAGCAGTCATCAAGTCATGCTGGAGCGAGTATGCCTCCCCTCCCTCTCACTGCTCCTTGCTGTTTCCTGCTCCCTAGTGTTCTCTAAATGATTTCTTTCCGCCCATCACTTTCCTGATGGCCTAATTTACATGCTGCAACCCCTTCAAACCTCCCCACCTCCCCTCCCCCCCGTCTCCCCCTCCCCCCCCCCCCCACCCTCACTCACTCCTCTCCCTGTGCCTCCAGTGAGCCCTCGCTGCGGCCAAGCTTTGAAGAAATAATCGGGTTCTTGCGGCAGCAGCAGCAGCTTCGATAACTACCGGCATGTTTAAGGCAGTGTTAGGCAACGATACCAAGGGTGATGTGCAACTCACCACCAGGAAAAGTTTCGGCACCATCTTTAATGAAGCCCAAGCAGACGCAAGCAGTGCATTCTTTAGGTACTGTCTTGGAGCGGCCAGCCATGTTAGCTGGCTGCAGTTGCATTGCTATGCACAGTCCAACATCCAATCTTTATGTACCATTGTCTGGATTCAAATGAAATCAGTATGTTACATGGTGCTGGGGTATCAGTTTCCAAGTTATGATCTGTTTATTAACTAACAAAACATTATGGGCACTAGGCCATCTGTTTCACCGCGTTCTCAAACAAAACATGTCCCACCAGTCCTACTCCTAGTGTGACCTACCTAATAACTTAACCCTATGCCTAGAGTAACTTGTGTGTGATGATGTTGGACGCCGTGGTCCCTCCTGCCTCAGCTTCACAGGCCTTGTCTCCGATAGGTGTGACTTGGATGTTTGGAGAACTTGTAGCACCACCAGGTCCTGGCTCTCCGAGTGGTGAAGCTACCTGGCAGCTACCCTCTTCTTCACCTCGGTCGTCAGTGGCATCTGCACCCTTGCCTGGTGGGGACGTGGCTGTGCGAATGGCCAAACCTAGCTCCAGATTCGTGTGTGGCTGTTCAGGAGGTGGTCTTGCAGGTGCCACTGCTGTTACTTGAAGACCAGCAGAGTCCCTGGAAGTGAGAGCTTTGTTTGACAATGAGAGCTGCAACTGACTGGGCTTCAGAGGGCTGCCTGATGGAACAAGGTTTGGTGTGGATGGAGCAGGTAGTGGTGTCTGGGCTTCAGCCTCCACAGGTGGTGTTGCTGCAGTGCTTGGTATGGTGGGTGGAAGGAGAAATTGATAGCCCGTGGGAGCTGCTGTATGCATAGGGATATGGACCGGAGGTGGGCGAGGAGGAAAAGGTGCTGACGGGGAAGGGTGGAAGTACAAGGGATGAGTAGCAGCTGGCAAGGTTGGTTGCAAGGGCGGTGTGACTGATGGTGGTAAAGTTGTAAGAATGGGTGAGGGTGGAAATGTTGGTGAAGATGTGTTCACGGAACCGGGCTGGTAAAGTGAGAAGAGGGTTCTCGAATACTCCAGGTAATAGTTCATGAAGCCTGCAGTGTAGCACAGGCAAGGGACCACATTAGAAAATACTCAAACATAATATTGAACGGACAGGGAACAAAGGAAGATGCATTACCTGGGTTCTGAAACTGCATCACAGCAAGCTGTGAAGGGCTGAACAGGTGAGGTAGCCACAACAGAGGGTCAATTGACGCGGGATTTCCACCTGGCATCAGCCCTGTTGACATTGACGCTCCCTCGGGAATACCTCCAGGCGAAGGTAATGCCGGTGGGGCGCCTTGAAGCAGTCCTGGCCGACAAAGAGGCAAAGATGCAGAAGGTGGTCCTAGGAACGATTGCGACATTCCGGGCATGGCTGGACGTGGAAATGCTCCTCCTCTTGTACTCGCTGCTGCTGCAACAGCTGCAGCAGCGGCAGCTGCAGCGACTGCCATAGCAGAGCCTGGCTCCGGAACAGTGCCTAACCCAAGGGACATAGGCAATGATTGCACATGCCCACCATCTGCCCGAAGCATAGGAACACCCCCCTGTGTGCCGAGATCTGCCTCAGTTGGCCTTCGTGCAACTGGCCGCAATAGATCAAGCCCCAGCTCAGACGTTTGTACATCAGAAGGCTGAGTTGCACCGATAGGGAGTACTGGCTGAGCATGCGGCTGAACGGACAATCTCTGCCTCTTGCTTGGAGAACTTCCTCCAGCCTGCCTTGCACCAGGGCTTGGGGCTGCTTCCCGTTGTGATGACGAATTTGGGCATGCTTCTCTTGCTTCCTGAGCAGATGTCTGGCCTGGCCCTCCAGCTGGGTTCTGCAGAAAGGAAGCTAGTGAAACAAGCTTCCCAGAGGACTCGCTGCGACCAACGCCTGCGAGAGAGCTTGGGGGGGCTGACGCTTCTCCATCTTCACCAGTCAGCAGCCTTCGACCGGCCTCATCAGGTACTGCAACGCCATCTGTGATCCGGAGCCGTAGTGTTCCGCCAATGTTTCTCATGAGAGGCTCAGCAGGGCTTGCTGGTTCCTGGTCGAGCTCCGTGGTCTGCCGTGGCCGCAAGGCCTGTTGCTTCTTCTGGGCGGAACGCTTATGGCCTGATGGCTCCAAGACACTCTTCCCAACCCCCAGCAGCTTAGCAGGCGTCTGCGACTGCGACGAATGCTTTCCCTGCTGCTGCCGTTGCTGAGATTGAAGGCTGGATGCCATTGGTGATTGCTGATGAAGCTGTTGCGTCTGTTGTGTTGTATTCGAAGCATGGCTTTGTGGTTGTGCTGCTCCAGGAGTTGAGATGGAGATGCCCGATCTTGCCGTAAATGCCTCCTGGACCTCCGCTGAAGGCATGCGAAGGGGAGTATGCACAACTCGCCATGTGATAGATGGAAGCTCGCGGTCTCTCTTGGCGGGGGTAATTCCAGCCTTCAAAGCAGGTTCTGAAGTAGCAGATGGACGCTGAAAGCGGTTTGTCACGGACTCAGATGCTTTGATGATTCCCTCAAAACATTGATGAGGGCCGTTGGCTCCAATCCAGCGGTAATGTGACTTGGGAATGGTGGATTGCGGTTGTTCAGTGGCAAGAGCCTCTTGCACCTTTTCAATCAGATTAATTGAACTCAGTATGTTCACCACGTCGTATAGCCTCCGGATGCGAGCTGCACATGAACAATCATGATGTTAGTGAGAAGCATGACGGAATGAAAGAAATGGCATCTTGTTGCCTGCTCACATCGATCATCTGGTGGGTCGAGCAACATCTCAGCTGCGTCTTCCCAGCATACGGTTGCATTCTGCAAACAAGAAAAGACAAAGAGTAAGTGCGAATCACGTATTCAGTCTAACTTCTTTGAACGGAGCTGGGAATATTCGTTGATCCAAACATACCGTGTCTTGAAGAAACAGCTGAACAAACTTCTCTCCAAGATTCCTCAAGATCGACCCTCTTCTTGCATCTGGGTTGACTTCACTGTCCTTGCCTGAACCATCACACTGTGGGTCTACCGTTCTTGGTGATGACTTTTCAGAAAAAGCGTTATTGCCATGCAGTGAAGTCACGCCCGCACTCGCACTTCCTTCTCCACCAACAATGGCGTTGCCCTGCAAACGAACCCCTATCAGTTGTGAACAATATATGATTCTTGAAAGAGTAAAAAAAAAAATTCAGCACGCACCTTGATTCTGGCAAGAGCTTCACCAATGCCATCTGATCCGAGCCACAGATACTCATGCTTGCCTTGTTTCTTTACGATGCTGACACACTCCAGGACGTTGAAAATGTCATACAGTTTTCTTCGCCGTATCCCTGCAGTCGCGTCGATTGTAAGAATGTAAAAACTCATATATATGGATTGATTCCATAGACGCACTCGCTTACCTAGGAGGTTCTCCAATTCCTCGAGGTTCAGCTTGCCTCCCTCTTTCATCAGACAGGCTCCAACGACTCTGAGGAGGGTAACGAAGTAGAAGTAAGTGGTAGAGCCCAGATTACAGAGCTAAATGCTTGAAAAGGAACGAGGGAACCGAAGACTTGACATACGCGTGGGTTATTGTACCCAACGAGTGCTCCTTCCTGATGTCATCTTCTTGGTTGTCGAACTCAGCACAGCGTTTCTCCTGGCAAGAAAAAACAACATTGAGTAAGAAACTGATCAGTAAGTCAGCAAATCTCACCTTCTCCTATCTGCCTTACCACGTTAATAGGGTGGGGAGATATGTGTGAATGAGCTGCATCATTGCGTGAACCCGTTGCTGAGCTATCCTCCCCCAAACCTGCCTCTGGCCTGTGTTGCTGCGGAGTGCCTGTAATGGCTGCAGTCGGAAAAGGGACCGGGCTGAAAGGTGGAAGGTAGGCTCTTCCTTGACGATGATGAAAGTCTGAATGGTTAATGCCTGAACCTGGTGTCAACGGCAAGGTCGTTTGTGCACCAAGAAGTGGAGAACAGATGGGAACCTGCAGCATGTAAAACAAGACATCGTTAGCTTTTCCTTGTGCACGAGTAACGCAAGCAACCATCAGGCCCGCCTACCTCGGATGCGAGAGGCCTCGTGTCAGGGACGTTAGGGTGGAATCTCGGGGTTTTTGGTAGGAGAGCTGCAGAAGAGCGAGACGCACACAAAGGTGGAGTCATCAGGACATTTAGCGGCGCAATGCGTCTTGCAAGCAGAGAGGTGACACCTGATAAGTACCTTTGAAGGGTGGGCGATCTCGTCCTGATGCTCTGACGTCAAATGCGCTCAGGCCTGAACAACGAGAAAGCGGACGATTAGATCTTGCACGAACTGACCAATGTGAGAGAGAAGTAAGGCAGAGACATACCCTGCAAGAAGCAGTTCACTTGCAAGTTCGCTGCTCCTTGCGGCGCATCGTTGTTGGCGACGACCTTGATAGAACTGGAAATAGAGCTCCCAAGAAATTGCTGAGACTCTGAGTAAAACGCAAACAGAAGCCTGAATTTCGAAGTGTTACAGCAGGGTCGTATGTGCGTGCTAGCCTCGTCAATTGCAATATACAAATGCCGGGGCTCCTTCCACACATCAGGATCATCAGGAGAAGCGACTACGCTACGCCGTGATAATCGTCCGAACCTCTGCAACCCTTTCAGAATAGGACCGATGCAACCCTTAGTGCATTGACTCCGGACAACAGGTACCCAGTGGTACTCAGCCTGAGTTTTGAATGTCGCCCCATGATGGTTTGCGAAGACCAGGAACACGTAAAGTCGCATTCTTCTGTCATCCTGAAATCGCAGATTGTACTTCAGGGTACCCTCGTGCAGAAAGGTATCCACCTCGCTTCCAACCGGAACCTCGATAGCCTCGGTCAGGGAAAGCTCGGCCTTCGAAGAGCGAGAATCCTCATTGAGAAATACCAGCTCTACCTGGTTGTACGAGCATTTCTGCTTGCCAAGCTTATAAGCCCTGCGAGCACACGGAGCTGGTATCAGTGTCTATCTCGAGGGTCACGGAAAACAAAAAGGCAATGCGTGAGCCTACTTTCGTCAGCACCTTATTTCTGGCTGCTCATTGATGGCAAAGGCTGTTGATGTCGACACCGGACACAACAAATCCATCGTAATCCTGCTGAGCCATGCTACTCTAGCATCGGACGGTGTAGGTTTCGAGCTATAGTTAGTCCTGTCGTAGAAACTTGGTCAGACGGTAACAGCTTCTCTATCACAATGATTAATCTCCTGATCAGCCGGTCAGTCTAGGTGGATAAGCACGGAGGCAGAGTATTCACCAGACACAAGCAGTCCAGGTTGCTCGACCAGCTTAATTCTTGACCATTGTTGTGCATCACCGATATGAAGAGGGTGTAAACGCGTTATTGCTAACATGAGTTACCTAGGGATTGCGTGTGGTTACGCAAAATGGGGGACGTAAACGGGCGGGAGAGGAGGTGTCGTCCAGATTTGTGAACTATCTCCCGCCTTGACAGGATGCCTGGAATAACTGAAGGGGTGGTGTCATTCAGCGGATGGTATCATGGGGGAAGGGGAGCTCTCGAGGACAATCGAGAAGCTGGCCTTGGGGAAGACGATGTGACCTTGGTGGGGAAAAGGGGATGTGTGCATGTAGCGTTCCGCTTGAAGGATGCATTGGCTGGCGGGGAAGAAAGCATGGCAAACTTCAAATGTGACGGTCTGGATAATTGAAGCTGTTTTCACCAACACTAGGGGTAAACCGTCAGATATCCCCATCCGGTCCTTGTGCCACTGTAGTCGTTTGTGTTGTGAAGCTGACAGCGAGATCTTCTTGGAACTTGGCTGGCTGCTCCCAGCCCGCTGTATCGAGTCGCGATCCGGGAATACCGCAAGAAACTTTTGAATTCGAATGCCACGCCTCTTTCTTTTGGCGCGAGAGAGTGTGGAGCAAACAAAGCAAACCAATCATTCTCAGTCATACGGCGAGGGGAAAAATGGAGGCTGCACCGCCGTTCCCCAATGACTACACATTCATTGATCGCACAGTGTCGCATGCCCTAGAATCCTGGAGAGCTAGTGCAACAACAAGAGTCGGTGACACTAAGGAAAAGCCTCCAATAAAACTGTACAGACAACAGGTGAAACATTTGCTCTTCCATTAGATCAGATCAAAAGCACAATGATTACACCTTGGCTGCTAATGTTCCTGGTGCGATCCAATCATCTGGAATAAGTGAAGACTTCCCATTTCGTCGCATTCCCTCAACCTACAATAACAGAGGAGACAAAAATCAGAACAATGGATAATATCAGCTGAATGGATGAGAAACAATACATGTAAACCAGAAATAAAGAGATACACCTCACCTGATCTATGACCATGGAGTTAAAGACTTCCAACAGCTCATCCAGCTTTACCCGATTATCTGGCTCAAGAATCTGTAAGGCATACACCACAGCTTCGATCGTGGACAGGCAACCTAACTGCCAAGGACTTGGAGGGGTGATAGGGCAAAAACACAAACAACATAAATTATTGAGAAACATGCGAGAGATGATGGGAAAACAAGAACCAGGGCAAAAATCAACATCTAACCTTTGGTTGCTTCCGGATGAACCCATATCTCGATGGCGCAGCGGCTTGTGGTGGCAAGTGGTAGTGCGGCAGCTGCAGCAGCCATGGATTCTGACACAGAATCCTCTTCGCCTTCGGCCACGTGCCATCCAGCACAATCAAGTGAGACGGTCTCAACACATCAGAGGACTGATCACCAATGGACGGCGCAGATCGCTCGGCACCATTGGACTGTTGTGGAGGCTGCAGCTCTATGGATCGGGGGGAGGGGTAGAGTACCGCAGCTCCAGGCGGCAAACTGATCCACTCTGGTATCTCCACTGGCTCAGTACTTACAGCCTCTTTGCTTCCACAGCTCCTGCTACTGGTACTGGAGGATGCAGTGCTTGTTGACAAAGCTCGGTCTTCTAGATGAATGTGTCTCATTTGGTTGCTGGGACAACAGCTGCTGCTACTGCTGTGGCTGCTGCTGTGAATGCTGCTGGGGGTGCTGGATGCTGTACTATGACTGTTATGCAGATGGGACATTCTCAAGCCATGGTTGTCAGCTGCGAATTCCTCAGGAACAACACGCCAGCTGCTACTGCTGCTCCTCCTGCTCTTGCTCTTTGTACTCTTGCTCCTCACACTGCTCCTCCTCCCTCCTTTGCTGCAGCTGCAGCTGCTGTCATCGGAACAACCATCACCACAAGCAGTGCTGGCTAGCCCTTTTGTCCCATACTCAATGTTGTCCTCACACCACATACCACCACCATCAACTGCACTGCTCCCGTCAGCATGATGGTCACCCCTGCCATCGTCACTCTCAGCCCCATCAGCAGCAGCAAACGGCAGGAGGTCAAAGCTTAGATCAAAGCTTGAATCACCTGTTGATGCCCCATTTGCTGTTTCTCCTCCCTGTTGCTCACCCAATACAGGCCCATTCGCTCCTACACCCCTGCTTCCTTCTTGTTCGACTCCGTTCTCCACACATTCCTCGCCCTCTCTTACCTCACCCTCTCTCTCCTCAACCTCGTGCAATTTCCCACCTCTCACCTCAACCTTTTCACCAACCGCAGTGACAACCACAAGCCCTCCATCTATGCCCGTGCTTGCTTCCCCATCCCTTGCATTGCCCCTCTCACTCGATTCCCCCGTCCGCTGCGCCTGGTCTCCCCACAGCCGCTGTTGTGGTGCTTCCTCCCCCTCCTGCAGCATTCGCCCCTCCGCATTCCCCTGCGTTTCCCCTAGCCCTTTCCCTTGACCCTGCCCTTGTTCCTGCCCATGCCCTTCCCCTTTCCCCTGATCCGCCCCTAACTCTGGCCCTTGCCCATGTCCTTGACCATTCCCTTGCCCCTGCCCTTGCTCCTCCCCCGCCCCCTCCCCTTGCTTCCCCCCTTGCCCCTGCGCTTTCCCCGCACCCTTGCGCCACCGCCCCCGCCCAGAGCGCCCCAAGAGCGAGCGGCGGGAGCAGGGGTCCTTGGGCTGCAGGCCTGGCCGCCCGGGCCCCAGCGGAACCACCACCACGCGCACGCGCTGCAGCCCCAGCAGCGCAATGCGCGCCGAGCCCAGCGGGTGGTACTTCTCCTTGGGATGCTGCTCGGGGGTTTTGGAGGGGAAGAGGTGGGGGGCAGCGGGGGAGATGAGGGAACGCGGAGGTAGGTAGTAAGGTTGGAAGACAGGAAACAGAATGGGGCAAAGGAATAGGGAAACGGGGAACCCAAAGGAGGAACTTTCAAGCGGTAACGAGAAACGGGTTCAGGAAGGGTTTCGGGGATCAACAGAAACGTAAACGTTGACGTAAACCTAGGTAGTCAGTCTGATGTACGTCTGCTTTCCGCGAGGCATACCTGCAGGATTGTGACACCCACGCGGTTATCCACGGGCTCGCCGAAGCGATCACAGATGCACACGCTCGTCGCCTTGTGACACTCCACGCAGAACGCCCGCCTTCCCTGCTGCTGCTGCTGCTGCTGGCGATGCTTCTGGTGCTTCTGTCCGCTTTGCTGTTCGTTCCGTTGCCGCTGTTGCGTTTGCTGATGCGGCTGTTGCGTCTGCTGATGCGGCTGCTGCTGTTGCAGCTCCTCCTGCCGCCGCTCACTCAATTCCTCTCCTTGTTCGCCACGTGGATTCGTTGCCTCTGTCGCTAATTCGCGATCTCGAAACTCCTCGGGGCGGTGATCTGCTACCGCGTCACCTGGTAACGACAGGTGATCGGCTATTTCACCAACTGAGATCGTATCTGATCTACAATTACGACCATCAACGACTGACGAAACACCTTCACCGTCCATTCCTGACCGACTGTTCGTCGCATCTGAGACGTGAGAGTCGTGGGATCCGCGACAGCGTTAACCGCGGCAGAATCGAAGTCGTTGCAGCGGAGATGCGAAACCATCATCACCTCGCGATATCGCAATAACGAGACAAGCTACTGAAGGGGTTTTCTGAAGCGAGTGACGGCAGGAACAACGGATTTGGTAATGTAAGGGCGCGTGTCTTTTGGTTTTTATAAGCAAAACTCGAGTTTTTGGTTGAACTTTTCCATCTGAGCCTAGGTCGACCTAGGCTCGAGTATAGCCAAATCTGACCCGAGTCGCGGTTCCAACACTCTCGAGAACCACAAGACACACAAATGGTCGACTTTCAAAGTTGAACTTTTGGAACTTTCCCGAGTCGCGGCCCATATCCGTAGGTTACCCGGTTTGGCCTCTTGACAGAGCACCACGTATGTCCCCTTGCGTCCACCGCCACAAGTGAGTTGGCGAAGCCAGAACCCTTTCGATCGAGTCGCTCGTGCTAACGACGTCAGCTTAGACAGTCGCGGAATTCGCTTCTTCATCGTGTTTGGTCAAAGGACACACGATTTGATTTTCGTGCGAGACTGTTTGGTACGAGAAGTTCAACCATAGATTCGGTCCCGCTTCAGACATGACATTGTCCTTAGACACACGATGGCCGTGCGAAGCATCTAACGAAAGTCTCGAAAAGGGTTATCACCAAAAGTTCGTCCAAATTTCCGAACGTCAACACCATAAGACACGCGCCCTAAGGGACCAGATAGAATCTGGGTATCGGGTGGATGTACGGTATGACACAAGGGTGGGTTCGAAAGACCAGGCCAGCATGCGGGTTCAAACATCAGAAGCTCCTGTGGCCAGAGTATTGGTTCCACCTTTGAGCAAACAAGGGCTTATAGCGCGGATACGGTAAGGAACGAGAAACTAGCTTCTTCAATTCAATTGTTAAACGAATAAATTACTCATCACTCTAGGCATCAACTTTTGCACTTCTAGAAATCATGTGATCGGTAACATGTCCCTGCAATAAATGAAAAACGAATAACACGTTTTAGCAGTCATTTTTGCAAAAACAAAACAAACAAACAAACAAACAAGGAAAGGGTTGTTGTTCCTTACCAAGAGGATTGCTGAATGGGAGTTAACACCATCCTGCTCAAGAATTGCAGCAGTAGACGCAAGGCAGACACGTCAGTTAAGTTGGGACTACAATAAATAATATTATAAATCAGAAAAATGTCAACACAAACTCACTCCAAGTGCAGGAGCCTGCCATGTGAGCCATGTGTCCACAGACTGCCAGCTGTTATAAGTGATCTCAGAGGGCCACGTGGCAGGCATGACAATGCTGCTGACAGGCTGGACGATACTCAAGGCGTCTGGCTTGTTGACGGCAGATCATCCGTGTCAAGGGGGAGCGGGGTGAAGATGAGGACAGAGAGCCAGAAGGGGAAATTGAGAAGTTTTCATACAAAATATTATGTATTAACACAGGATGAGCATAGGGATGAAGAAAGGGGCGAATGGGTGAGCTCTGTAGACTGTGGTGGACATATTGCAACATCATTCGACAGTTGGCACTTATTGAACGACTCACTTGTAAGAAAAGCCTCCACCCACAAGGCACGCTCGCTCCACTGCGGGGTCTTGATGCGCAGCGGAATGCCCCTCTCTACGCACGTGCTGCAAAAACACCAAGCGAGGGTGCAACACAGATGAGTCCTTTAGGTGCATGAAGTGATATTGCAAGGCACGCTCGCTCCACTGCGGGGTTTTGATGCGCAACGTAATGCCCCTCTTTATGCACATGCTGCAAAAACAGAAAAGGAGGTTGCAACCAAAATATCGGAAAACAAACAAAATTCTTCCACAGGTGACGTGATGCAATGCATCTACTTAGGCGAGAGATGCGGGCCATTGAACGTGCATCAAAACAGAAGGTGGTTACATACTCAATGATGGCTTGGCGGATGCTTCCTGGAAGGATCCCACTCTCAAGTGATGCTGTCTGCAGCTCGAGTCCATGCCAGGGCGAACCGTGGCTTGAGTTGATGTCACTGGCAGGGCCAGAATCACAGACACAAACACAAGGGCAGATTGGCAGAAAGTCAGAGATCAAACCCACATCGGCTGACTTATGCGCAAAATGTGTACTGCCCTTGGAGTTGCATATCTAACGCCTAACTGCCACTGGCAGGGCCAGGATCACAAACGCAAACACAAAGGCAGATTGGCAGAAAGTTGGAGACCTAACCCACATCTCCTGATTTTTTAGCAGCACATAAGTTGCCCAGAAATAACAGATACCCGACGTAGCACATGCTCTTGCCATACCTGGCAGGCTCGGCTCGAGCCACTACAAAGAGGTTTGAGGTGATGCCTTCGAGAAGTGCGTCACCGTCATTCGATAGAATCACGTCCTTTGCCTCTGCTGGCCTAGCCGCCTCCAGGACTCGGCGGACGCTGCAGGCTCGCACACGAGGGGGGAAGATCGAAAACAAATTCTGAGCTATGACGAAGAGGTTCGAGGTGATGCCTTCTGGAAGAACATCACCGTCATTCGATAGAGTCACATCCTTTGCCTCTGCTGGCCTAGCTGCCTCCAGAGCTCGCTGGATGCTGAGGGCTTGCACACAAGGGGAGGAAAAAAAAATAGACAAGATTTGGACTTGTCCGCAGCCTTGTACTTGACTGCAGGCTCGCACAACAGGGAATAAGAGATGGTATATAGTGGTGTAGAACAACCATCAAAGCTCAGGGCATTGATTGTTGCAACGGGGAAGAAGAGCGCAGGGTGGGAAAGGAAGGAGTGAAGGAAGAGACACTCACAGGGGCCATGAGGAGAATTTCGCAAGGGGAGTGTCTCGGCCAGGCCCCATGACAGCAGCACAGAGGGGTGGCGGCAGGGAGATGGATGGCCAAGGGCTCGTGGGGCGGACCGTGCTGGCATGCACGTACACCTCCACGCCTCGTGAAGTTGCTGCAGCAGCTCCTTCACCTACGAACACCTTTTGACCACAGAGAAGAATCATCAGGCAGATCTCCACCTGCTGCTGCTGCTGCTGCTGCTGCTGCTGCTGCTGCTCCTTGCCATTCTCCTCCCCCTGCACGTTCCTCCGCCACCAATCACAGTCCACCATTTCTTGCACAGCTGCTAGCACAGACGCTCTAACATCCTTGCGCAAATCAGCAACCAAATTTCTGATTCGATCCGCCTCTTTCCAAACCTTCTCTTGACAGAGCTCTTTGTCATGTGTTTGATGACGGGTTGGCAGCAGGTTCGGTGACAGGTTCGGGAACAGCTCGGGGTGAGCTTCGGCGAGCAGCAGCAGCGACTGAGTGACTCTACTGAGGTGAAATTCCCACAAGAGAAGGTGGGAACCGTTGCCGAACGTGCGAGTGGTGGTGTAGGCGCCTGAGGGGGGGGGGGGGATGGAGGGAGGGAGGGAGGGAGGGAGGGAGGGAGGGAGGGAGGGAGGGAGGGAGGGAGGGAGGGAGGGAGGGAGGGATGGAGGGAGGGAGGGAGGGAGGGAGGGAGGAGGGAGGGAGGGAGGGAGGGAGGGAGGGAGGGAGGGAGGGAGGGAGGGAGGGAGGGAGGGAGGGAGGGAGGGAGGGAGAGTGGGAGAAATGGCAGCATTGGGAACGAAAGAACCGCTGCTGAACGAGCGGTGAAGGCGCCTGGGAAGGAAGGAGGGCACAGTCAGAGATATTAGGGAAAAAGGAAGGAGGTAGAAGAACACGCAGAGGACAGACTGAGCCGCGGATTGAGCCACGAGATTGGAAATGCGCAAGGTGTTAATGATACCTTTGGGTATGGTTTCTAAGAACGGCTTTTGAGTCGACTCAAAAGACTCTTGAGTCGACTCAAAAGGCAATTAAGCCACGAGGCTGGAAATGCGCAAGGCGGTGACGATACCTTTGGGCATGGTTTCTAGAAACGCTCGAGGCCCCGAGGGACACGGCGTACATCCATCCTCGATGTTAATTGCCCCCGTGGCTCGATCAGTTAACATCCGGCCATTATGCGCCACCGCGAACGGCGGAGGCTCAACGGGAGCCTCTCCGGAAGTTGAAGACGCAACTACCGCTGGTCGCCCTGCTGCTTCTCTCCCTGCTTCCATCCTCCCTGATTCCACCCTCCCTCTTCCTGCTACTGTTCTACCTGCTTCCACCAGCCCTGTTGTGGCAAATTCCGACGCGAAACGAGCACGATCAGTCGCAGCTCGAGCGGAAGAACCATTCCGCGCCGTTGCGTGCCTGAGTAAAAGACTCGATACGGCGAATTTCGATAGATTGAACGACGCGCCGCAAGACGTGCTGCCTTTTGCACGGGACACGAGTAAGAGCTGGTGAAGAGATGCAGAGGTCAGCGATCCCGTCATACCGTCAACTTGAAGCGATACGCATAACGTCGGGATTCAAAACGGGGTGAGCCAACCGTGTCACGAATGAGCGTGAAACGGGAGCAGAAATGAGGATTTCACAACGACAGGAATGCCAATTCTCGTAGTTTTACAATCGTGCTCGCTGTTGCCGACGCGATGTGGCTGCGATGCAGTGCTGCTGGTGACTGGATGATACTAGATATCAGCTTCCAAGGTCTTGCGTGCTGCGATAAGGTGCAGAGTTTTAAGTTTGGACTCTAAACCCTGGCACAAAATACAGAAAAATAGTACGTCTCTTCTCACAAAGTACGTTGAGGCTTACAAATACTCCAAGGCACTGTAGTTTGTTACAGCCCATTGAGCATCTGGGATATATTTTTATCCCGTTAGGTTTTGCATCGTTAGAATCATATGAAAATGACCATGACATTACATAAGGGTCGTATCTTAGTATCCAACATACGCACATGTATCATTGCTAAACTCTGGAGCATTTATAGATGGTTTGATGGACATACGTGTGTGTCTAGATGGGCCATATGGAAGTAAGCTCAGTTGATAAGGAATGTAACAGATTTAATTGGCATGTGCCTGCGATTTGAAAATTCACGGGTCCCGTGAATTCAAGTTCGGGGATCACTCGCCGAACGTGAGGTGTAGGGTTCATGAAATGATTTCCCGCCATCACTGGCATGGGTGTCAGGAGTCACGATTCAATTGGGCGGCTCCCGCGCAAAGATGCAAAAACCCGCTTCGTCTGAAACTTGGCTGTTCCCGTAACCCTGCTCACGAAAGTCAGGGTCCTATTCGCCAAGTTGTGAACTTCCGTTGGCGAACGATCATGCTTTCGCCAAAATCCAGTCTCGCGAAATTGACTAGCAAAAGGTTCCGCCTGGTTTGGCAATCAAGCAGCGGCAGAAGCCAATTGTCGCTCCGCTCTCCTGTCCTTCACACATCCCATGCCTCAAAAATTCCTTCGTCTTCTTACCTAGGAATTGCCTCGGTCACCACCGCACTCTCCTCTTCCAGTTCCTCCCTGAACGTCAGAACTTACCTAGGGCGGCCTCACGTTCCTTCAGTTTCGTCGGGTGCCATCCCTTAGGCCGTATCAGGAATCTTAATTCTTAATTTCTCTGTCTAGTTCTTAATTGTCAAATCTTAAGTAACGATTATACACCTGAAGCAGCTTTAAACTAATCAATGGTGGCACTCTGCCTGATCACTGAAATCATATCTACTCTAGCCGCTCGAAGGCAACTCTCTGCTGTTCAGACGTTGAGGAGAGTCGACCCTGATGGTGAAAGGATTAGGACATCCGCGACAGGTGTTACCTAGGAGAAGCGACGCTAGAAGTTTCCACCTTCTCAACGATCCAGCCTGAACGCCTGGGAGTGAAAACGGACCGGATCAGTAGGAGCGTGGTGGTGACTGGCTCTATCGGTAATCATTCGGAAAAGGAGTAAAGCAAGCCATATTTTAAAGCAAGCCATATTTTAAAGCGAGCAGTTCGTTTCGTGATGAAAGCGAACCACGATGTTTGGTCCGGTGGTGCTCGCCTTCTCGACGTCCACCACCTGCTCAAGCCGAGAAATGTCGCATTTTGTTGAATCGCGTCCTGCGTACGGAAGACGTCGCATCGTGGTTGGGAGTGCGGAACGGTACGGAGCAGTAAAGAAGTGTGGTGGTGGTTATTTCCGAGCTTCGACGAATGACTAGAGATGTCGCATCTTGGTGAATCGCGACGTCGCATCTTGCTGAATCGCGACGTCGCATCTCGGTGAATCTCGTCTGGTCGTCGCGAGATCCATTCAGCCCTCAAGTTTCAGCGTCGTTCAATTGGACGGCGACAGCCAAGGCAATTCGGCATCTTGGGCTCGAGAGCGACGGGCGATAAACTCCCAGCAGCTAACGACGATTGGCGGAGAGCAGCGACCGACGAGTGTCGGATGGCGAGCGACGGAAGTCGAGCAACGCACGACGCGAGACGGACGGCGCGCAGCGACAAAAAGTGACGGGTGGCGAGCAACACGCTTCAGTGACGAGAGAGCTGATGGAGAAGCTACTCGGTTTGGCCACTCACTTCAGTGCTCCGATCTTCGTTCCTGTTTCAGAGTTATTTCAATCTGTCGTGTCTTTCTGTTTATGTGCATTTCAAAGCTTGCTCGGCAATTCGCATGGGAGGTGTTACTAACCTAGTAGGAGTGCGTGTGGGAGTGTGAGGGCGTGTGGCGATGGTGGGCTGTGGCACAAGGCAGCTGAGCGCATGTAGGTAGAGTTGTAGGGGGTTAGAATAGAATGCATTCATCCTCATGCCCGCGTCCCCCTCTACCCCAGTCCCCCCTTGCAAGCTCGCTCGCTGCCAAGCTGCCACGGCCTGCCATCGCCACACTCCCTTCGCCTCCCACGCTCCTCCCAACCCCTCCCGTGCCTTTCTGCCTTCTGCTTCAAGTTTCCCAATGCTCATACAATTCCACGTCATGCTTGCTGCTTCATCATTCTAACATTATTGCCTGCGCTACGCCAGTCTCTTTGCATCTCCTTCTCGCCGTGCCTTGTTCCCCATCCATCTTCTGGCCTCAGGTCGAATGGAGTGCAGTGCAGGCGGAATTGCAACGAGCTGGGTGCGACGATGTGCAGAATGGTGACGCGACGGCGGCGACGAGCTGCGTGCGACCTTGTGCGGAATAGCGAGTTACTGGGCGGCGATGTGTGGAATGGCGAGTTACTGGGCGGCAACGTGTGGAATGTCGAGTTACTGGGCGGCGACGTGTGGAATGGCGAGTGCGGCGTGCGACGGTGTGCGGAACGGCGCCGAGTTGTGTGCGACGGTGTGCGGAACAGTGATGCTGCTGCTTGCTGCTCCTCTCTCGGACGAGTCACTTCCAGCCTCTACACTTCTCCCTAGCTAAGTTTCCTCTCCGGCCTCCCGTCCTCGAGCGCTCACCATCCGTCCCTTTCACTCTTGGCAAATCTCAAGGAACAGTTGTTTCTTGGCGCATGGTGGTGGTGGTTCATGGTGCTATGGCAGCAGAGCTGATGTAGAGTGCAGTGCAGTGGGAGTGGTGGGAGAGATGAGTGGGAGAGGGAGTGCATTCATGCCATGCGCGCGTCCCTCTCTACCTCAGTCCCCCCTCGCTCGCTCAGCTCGCTGCTCTAGTGCCGTGGGCCACTGTCGCCATGCGCCTTCCCCCCTCCCCCCTCCCACGCTCTTCACTGCTTCTGCTATTGGCCACTTTAACCTGCTTTCTCCCCACACCAGAGTGTTTGCCTCCAATGCTACTCCACTCCTCGCAACGCTTTCTGCAGCATTCATTCCGAGTTCATTCCCTTCTGCCCTCTGCCCCCTGCTCTCTGCTCTCTGCCCTCTGTCCTCTGTCCTCTGCCCTGCCCCCTGCCCCCTGCCCCCTGCCCTCTGCCCTCTGCCCGAGGCCAATCTCTAGGCATCTCCTTCTGTCCGTGCCTTCTCCCCCATGCATCCTCAGGGCGAATGGGTGCAGGCAGCAGAGCAGCAGAGCGCTGGCTGCAGCAGCACGGCAGTCGGCATCAGTCAACGCCAGTCAACTCCAGTCCTCGGCACCGCTGACATCGTTGCCACTATGTTACGGTATGCATCCCTTTAACTGTACACGCACTCACCTTTCAGGTTATTCCACCCGTTCTGTCTTTCACTCCTCCATTTCACTGCATCCGCTCTCACCTTCGCTTCTGTCTGTTGCTGCTTGCTGCTCTGTCTGCTACACTGCCTGGTTGCTCTTCGTACTGCACTCACAGGGATTTTCCCCCAGTGAGGTCTTCCGTTCCGTGGGAGTGGAAGTTCAAGCAAGCGTTTTCCCTGCCATCCTCTTGTCATTTTCTCTGGTTGACTTGTCATTTTCATGTTGTTGCCTTTGCCCTTCCCCTCGTCCGTTTTTCTTTTCCCTCCTTTCCGCGTCCGCTTTTCCTTGTCCTTTTGTCTTTTCCGTGTCTCCTCGCCCTCACTACCCCCCATAGCAGCGGCGCCTCGCCCTCACAACAGGGGGAGTGTACTTGCTCTGCTTGCGACTTACAGAGTGGGGCGTTCCGTGTGTGACGTATGCACAAGACAGCAGCCAAGAATCGCACGCCACGCTCATCTCATGGCTTTTGAGAAGTCTCAAAAGTCATTCCGTGTGCGACGTTACAGAGTGGGACGCACAAGACAGCAGCCAGCCAATAATCGCATGCCTGAGACGTTCATCTCATGGCGACGATCTGCGTGAGACGCTGCTGCTTGCCGCTGTCGCCCGGGAGGACATCTGCTGCCTCGGGCGAGTCACTCTCTGTGTCCACGCTTCTCCTGTAGCTAAGTCTCCCCTCCGCGCCCTGTCCTCCCCTTCATTCCTCCTTCGCTATCCCCACCTGTCGCTTTCACTCTGGACAAATTTCTCAACGCATCCATCTTATGGCGCATGGTGGTGGTGGTCCATGGCGCTATGGAATAGAGCTCATGTAGAGTGCAGTGTAGTCGGAGCGGTGGGAGAGGTGAGCGGGAGAGGGAGTGCATTCATTCATGCCATGCGCGCGTCCCTCTCTACCACACTCCCCCCTCGCTGGCTCAGCCAGCTGCTGTAGTGCCGTGGGCCACTGTCGCCATGCGCCTTCCCCCTCCCCCCTCCTTCCCCCTCCCACCACAATTCAACCACTCCGTTTTCGCTGTGCTCCATTCTCAAGTTTCTCTTCACAGCTTCTGCTCTATTGCTACCTTGCCGTTCTAGCTTCATTTCAAGTTTCGAGGCCAATCCTTTTCCTATGCATCTCCTCCTCCCTGTGCAGTTGTTCTCTTTCTGCTACCTTTGTGCTTCATGTAGTGACCTGCGGTCTCCTCCCTTACTCCTTCTCAACCCCCCTTTTGCGCTTTTGCACTTTTTTTCGCGAGCGATACATCCAAAGTTTTCTCAGAAGGGGTGCGTGCCTCCTTTTCCCCCTGTCCGAGCAGCGAGCAACGACTGACGGATGGCGAGTGACGGGCCTCGGCCATATCGACCGAGCCACCCGTGAGCAGCAACGCACGACGAACGAGCGAGCAGCGAGCAACAACGCACGGCGAACGAACGAGCAGCGAGCAACGACACACGCTGAACGGCAGGCAACAAGTTGCGTGCGACGCGCCTCGGTGACGGGCGACGGACGAGAGAGTCGGAGGAGAGGCTATACCGTTCAGCCAGAGCGTTCAGCCAGAGCCACTTCTGGTCAAGTGCTCTCAACTCCACTCCCGTCTGTCTCTTGTCTCGCTTTTGTTCGCGCATGCAACAATTCCAAAAAAAAATGAAAGGGGTGTGAGTGTGAGTGGGAGTGCGAGGGTGTGTGGCGATGGTGGGCCGTGGCACAAGGCAGCTGAGCTCATTTTAGAGTCGTAGGGGGTTAGAATGCATTCATCCTCATGCCCGCGTCCCCCTCTACCCCAGTCCCCCCCTTGCAAGCTAGCTCGCTGCCAAACTGCCCCGGCCTGCCATCGCACGCTCCCTTCGCCTCCCACGCTCCTCCCAACCCCTCCCTTTCCGTTCTGCCATGTGCTCGTTTACTCTTTTTGCCTCCTTTGCTTCCATGGACTCCTCGTCTTGCTTGCTCCAGTTCTGGTTGCATGCCTCCTTTTCCCCCCGTCCCCCCAACCTTCTCCCCCTGTGGTAGTTGAAGCAGCAGCAGCAGCAACCGGGGAGCGAAGCGCAGTGGGCAGCAAAGAGCTCGCTTTTCCTGGCTTTCGGAGAGCTTGCGGCACAGCAGAGGGAACTTTCACTATAGAAAGGCAGCGCGTTTACCAGGGAGAGTATGGGGCTGGCCATGACCCATCAAGGTATGCCACTTTTTCCAGTTCCACACCCCTGAGTAGGTCGCAAACACCGCTCTCCACCCCTCCTGTTCTACGCTGGCATGTGCTCGTTTGCTTCCAGTTGAGCTCTCCCCTCCCACTTCCCATCCTTATTTCTTGTTTCAGTTTTTTTTGTATGCCTCCTTCCCCCCCGTCCCTCCATTCCCCCCCCCAACCCCCGGTTTCCTCCATGCGTTTGAAGTATTTCCTTTTTTGTTCTTACATATCTCCTGCCTGTTTCTTGGCCTGCACTCACTCCCATTCTGCCCTTCTCTCCGCTCTGCCCTGTTCCCTCCGCCCTGCCCCATTCCCTCCGCCCTGCCCCATTCCCTCCGCCCTGCTCCATTCCCTCCGCCCTGCCCCGTTCCCCTCAGACTACTCATGATGCAGCAGAGGAAGCTGAGTGGCACACTGACAACACCAGTTGCTCCAGCAGAAGCGCAGAGCACAAGTGGAGAGCGCTAGTGCGGGAGGGGAGGGAGGGCATACGAGGCAGCATCTGTTGGTGGCTCTTCAACTTCCAGCTCCGTGGCTTCTCACAGGGCTCACCCTTTCGTTCTGCTCCGGTGAGTCAACTTCCTGACCTTCCAGTGAGCCAACGCCCGCACCTTCCTGTTATTCAACTATCGCACCTTCCGGAGGGCCAACGCTTATCCTTCCAGTGAGTCAACGCTTATTTCTGCGAGTCAACGCTTTCACCTCCTTTGAGTTAACGGTTTCCCTTCCAGTGAGTCAACACTTCTATTGTGTAATCTCCTGTGAGATTACACCAATCTCTTGCAAGGAGCTTTTCTTTCGCATGTGGTTCATTGTTCGTTGTGAAGCAGCAGTGGTGCAGTGAGGAGGTATAGTGATGGGCCTGCCGCCACCCCTGGGGCTGGTACATCTCTATACGGGGACCAACATTTCTACCTTTACGGGGGTTGGACTGACATTTATGCCAGCGTAAAGGTAGAACCACCAGCGCTCTCCCTCATATGACATGCTACACCAGTGCTTCTCTCTCCCACCCTATTTTCTAGGCCGCAAAGGCCGGTCTAGGTCCTCTGGTTCGGAGGGTGGAGAAGCAGCACCAACACATACACAGGAAATGGAGTAACTTTTGAGTCGACTCAAAAGGACCGACAATTCTACCAGCGCTCACATAACATTGTACACCCATACGTGCTTCTCTATCCCACCCTATTTCTCAGGCCGCAAGAGGCCGGTACAGGTCCTTGGGAGGGCAGAGTTAGAAGCAGCACAAACTCATACACAGGAACTGAATGTCTGGTCTTTCCGGTAAGCTCGTAACCACCCTGCTCTCCTTGTTCACTGCTCACTTGCACTTGCATCCTGCTTCTCATTGTTGCTGTCTCTCCTCCCTTGATCTTTCGCGTCATCACACCCTTCGCCATGCAAGACATGTTTCGTAACTGTCTTTCTTGAGCAACAGTTTCCCGTACTCAATCTACTCTGTTGCTTGCCCCCTGCTATCCGTATGTGAGTAGCTACAGATTGGGAACTTGAGAAAAAGACAGAAGAATTGTGTCCAAGGGTACTACCTTTGTAGCAGATATATTCAATGGCTTACGAAATTAGGCTAGATAGTACATTATGTGCTGTCGAAACTCTCACCATACCAGGCCATGATGCTTGGGACTTTCAGTAGAGTAGGAGCAACATTCAGGTGAGGTACTAGGTAAATTGAAGGGTCAATGGTGGGAGGTATGGTATGGGGTCAGGTATTGCAATGACGCCATAAATACACTAAAAGCAGGGAATGTTGGTAGGCAGGGATCCAGCCATCACTTCTCAGGGTGCAACAGCAGGAAATTTCCTCTGGAACCATCCATTGTGTTGCAGAGCTCAACTGGATTGACAAAAAGAGAGCCCTTACAATGGGGTATGTTAGCCAAGCAGTTTGGACAGCACTCTTCCAGCCACTAGTACTTCGGGAATTCAGCACCATCTCTGCCATCACTTCACCATCTCTGCCATCTCTGTTGGAAATACAAGGCATCAGAATATTATATGCTGTTAGGTTTTAGTGTAATCCCCTATATAAGCATCTAGGCCCTACAATACTTGTGCAATTATTGTAGGAGCTGCATTATTGGAGTTCAGGGCTATTGGGGTAGAATTACCGGTATTGGAGGTACGGTACCATTGGAGGTACAATTATTGGTGGAGGTGGCTAGACTTTGGCAGGGTAGCTGCATGGATAAATATCTTGCTGTGTGCTCTCATTACCATTTCTTGTTCTAAATCCATTCAGTTGCAAAGTTCTCTTGTTATTCTCTTCTACAATCAAGGCTTCCGCTACGACGGCACTATGCCTTTCTAGCATGGTATCAGAGCGACTCTAGGGGGCATGCTGCCAGAATTTGGACAAAAACCTGTTACTATCCATATTGGGCAGGCACGATAGCATATTGTCATAGCAAGAGGCAACGATTGGATCAAGGAAATGGCGCGGTTCGACGATGAAGTCGACACTGGATACGAGGCGGTTGAAGAAGCAATCTTGGCTCAACATGAGCACCTGGAGAACATGATTGCAAGGGCGCCGCCAACACTTCAAGCATCATTGAGAACAAAGTTAAACATGCAAATTGGTGAAGAGAGTGGCAGATTTGATACAGTGGGCGTGGAAGGTGTGAGATTGGAATCTTACACTATTGGTGCTCCCCCACTTCAACGTTTTGCCACTAACTCTTATTCCATTGGAGCCCCCGTAATGGACAGATCTCACCTTCTTGAAGACAGCAACATACCTCCTCGCGCTTCTCGTCCACTACTGGGAGTGGATCCTGCATGGAGCGTGGAGCACACGGGACATGGGATGCAGTGAAATGGTGTTTTGCGACGTGATCGCGTGGATATGGTGGAACATCACTCCTACGGTCAAGACGATGAAACGCAACGCATGGCTGGTCAAGGACGCAAAGGCTCGCATACAAAAGAGAGTACCAGGACCAAGAATGTTGCAACTTCAAACGGAGGACATCAAGCGACGTACGGAGAGAAAATGACGAGCAATGATCGAAAGGGCGGACGCTCAACTCTCATGTGCTGGTTTTGCAAGCAACTGGGCCATCCGTTCTACAAGTGTCCCACGGCACCACCAGGATGGTCACCACCGAGGTGGGAACAACAAAACAGGAGGACCAACCGATGTACCAGCAACAGCCGTTCGACCTCTCCTCGAAAGAGTGGCAGCCCCAAACGTGACAACACGATAAAGCAGCAAGGGGCAGCCGGGAAAGATAACAAACGGACGGTTATATGCATTGCGACGGTTCGATCATCACAGACAACCTCACCAAGCTCTGGAGGTTCTCTATGGTTGCTGGACAACGGATGCAGCCAGCACATGACTTCGGATAAACAATGGTTTGAAGGTTTGAAAGAGTTGGACAAACCAGTACAAGTGGAGCTTGCTGATGGGAGCACTCTGAACAGCTCAATGGTGGGCACAATCAAAGTACATGCAACCGATGGGACAACGGTGCGCTACACCGACGTGCTCTACGTACCTGGTTTGAAGTCTAATCTCCTCTCTTATTGTCAGCTGCTGCAAAAGGGAGCTCGGATTCACACCAACGATGCTGGAGACACCGAAATCTCCATGCCTGATGGAGATGGGGGTGTACGGATTGGGCTAGGCAAGAACGTACATGGAGTGCTAATGGTGGAATATGAGCCAACACTTGCTTCTGCCCATGAATCTGCACATACTCATGAGGATGCACCATCGAATGCGCATGGCCGTGGAGGATTGAAAGGCCAATCTGCTCCTGCATCCGTCACCGACCGTATCGCGCACATGGCTCGTGTTGTGAGGAACATGACACGTAACGTTGATGACATGCTGCTGGACGCTGGGACTTTGTTTTGACACCAGCAGCAAGCGAATGAAGTCTCACCCCAGGTTGTGGTGAGGACTTCAAGGGGAGAAGGAAATGACTATGGACCAAATTTAGGAAAACATGATTTTCCTGGACATGATGCAGCTGCTATGGTCGATGCAGCTAAAGGAAAAGGAGGTGCTGCAGCAAATGGCTTACCTGCAGCAGGCGTCTCTCTACCAATGGAGGATGAAGATGGTGCTGGAAACAAGGTGGGATATGCACCTACGGGCGTGCACATGGTTGCCCTGACGTACAAGGAGCTGAAAAACATGACCAAGGACTCGCTCGCACCCACCAGTGGACACGACATCACCTGCAGCCGCGTGTGCGGCGTCGAACCGATTCCACGTGAAGCAACATCTGCGTGTGGTCACCAAGTCCATGGTGCTGGTGCAAGAATCACACAAGCGGGCTTCTCAACTGGTGCTGCACAACCGGACATCACGTAGCTCCACACGCCTCACTCATGTGTTTGCACACGTGCATGATCACAAACACATGGGTGAGAGGGGGAGTGGGGTGTGGAGCATTTATAAGCTGAAATGGGAAGCAAAAGTTCATTCTTCAGAAGTTCATATAAGGGGTCACTGATGCTGCTGCCGTGTGCCAGCAGATGCTGCTGCAATCGGTCTGCACTTGCTGAAGTGCTACAGTTGCTGTTGTCCGCGGGCAGCCGTTGTTTCAAGTGTACCTGCTGGTTTCAGGGGGAGTGAAATACCACAAGTGAAGACGTTAACATCGTACAGTGGCGTGCATGGAGGATTACACCGTTAGTTACGAGCAATACTAGACCAAGGACAGAAGCGTATGAGGACGTGCTAGAGCTGCAGGAGATGCAGCCTTCAGTGTGCCAGCTTACTGTGGGGCAGCTACTGCTGATCGTGCAAGAAGACAGCTGCTGTTTCTACAGCCAACCAGGTGCAGCCGGCCAGGTGCAGCCAGTCAGGTACAACCAGCCAGGTGTTGCTGCAGACCGCCAGCCGCTGCTGCAGTCCGCCAGGCAGTGCTGTCCGCTAGTTGGTACTGCTGGTGAAAAGGGAAAGCATACCAAGACAACACGGGTTAAATCATACTTGGCATGATCCAAGTCGAGGGAGTTCAACACAGCACAAGAGCAGGAAGCAAGCAACTGCTGGGGCACGCATGGTGGAGCTGCATGAGATGCAGCCACAGATCTGCCAGCTTACCATGGAGCTGCTAGTGCAGGTGCAGGGCGTCAGACGCTGCTGATACTGCTGTCGCCTGCAAGGAGCTGCTGGTGCTGATGGAGGCCAGGTGCTGCCGCCACTGCTGCCATGCGCCTACAACCGTCCGCCTCGCTTCTGCCAGGAGCTGCTAGAGCTGACGGAGGCCAGGTGCTGTTGTTGCTGCAGTGTGCAACCGGGTGCTGCTGGTGCAGGAGAAGGCCGCGAGCTGTTGCTGTCCGCCGGCTGCAGCTGCTCCCGTGCGCCAGCTGGTGTGAAAAGGGGATAGCATCACAAGTGGAAGCAAGCATGAGTAACTCTGCATTCAGAACAAGAGAAGGCATTACGAGGTACAAGACACCATTATAGTGTGAGACAGGGGGAGAAAGCTGGAGACTCACTCACCACGGTGTTGCAATGTGCCAGGCGCTGCTGGAAGTGCTACCGCCCCACAGGTGTTAATAGTGCTGCTGCCGCTCGCCAGACACTGCTGTTTCTGCTCCAGTTCACCACCAGTTGCGGCTGCTGTCCACCACCAGCTTGTGAGCCGCTTAGCTGCTGCTACATGGCAGCAGGTGGAGCTGCAGGCGGGAGGGTGAAGCTGCTGCCGCCATGTTCAGCTGCTTCCGTGTGCCACCTGGTGTAGGAGGGGGGGCAGCACAGGGTAACAAGGGTGCGTAAGATACGAGGGTGAAAGAAGGCAGGACTTGGGTGCGGCAAAGAGAAGAGCACAACACTTGCTCAAACGGATCTGACCCGTAAGGAACACCTCACCTCGGCAGAAGAATGGGTAAGCAGCCCGTTGCTGCTAGTTGTCTGCAGCTCATCCGCCGCTATTGCCGCGAGTGTGTCGCCACTGCAACCCGCTGATGCTGCAGCCGAGCGCCGGGTAGTGCTGCTGATGTGCGACACCTGCTGCACAATGTTGAAGTTGAAGCTGCTGGTCGGCACGAGAAGTTGCCCTGCAGGAGCTGCTAAGGCGGCCGCCGCTCGTCAAGCGCTGCTGGTGCTACTGCCGCCTGTCAGGGCACACTGATGCTGCTCACCAGCTGCTGCTGCCGTGTGCCGCCATCCGTTGCTGCATTCCGCCGCCTGCAGGTGGTGACAAGAAATACAAGGAAGAGGAAGATTGCGATTAGGAGAAGCTGGTGAAGCGATGCAAGGAGAAATGTTCAAGGTGCAAGAGCTGCTGGTCGCCTGATGCAGCAGAGCTGCTACTACCATACCGTGCGCCAGCTGCAGGTGTTGTGATAAAGACACACGAGGAGAATAGGTTAGGAATATGAAATCAACAGGCAGCAGCACCATCAGCGAAAGGAAGGTAATGCTTCACCCATTGCAAGGGTGAGGGGGAGTACCCTGCTGCTACTAGGAGTTGAGTGCTGCTGGTGCTGCCGAGCGTCAGGTGCTGCGGCACGCTGCTGATTTCGTC